AATTCGACCCCCACCAGTTTGCAAACAGATTCACAGAAGATGCCATCACCCTCCACTCGGTGCTGAGTCACCTAGAACAGCGGCAGAGCTACGCCAGAATGCTCTTTGTGGACTACAGCTCACCCTTCCACCACTCGCCCATTGAGAGCCTACTAACTTACTGCATCACAGTATGGTACAGCAGCTGCACTAAGGCGGATAGAGCCACCCTCCCAGCATGTTTGCAATGAGTAGGAGATGCTCTGTATCTCACTGTACAACTGTATAGTGACAAAGGTATTGGGTTCTTTTCTAAAAATTGCTATAAACAGAGGAACCCAATCTGATGAAAAGTGGCGAATATTTTTTTTCAAATGACTATTTTTAGTGGATGTTTGATATGGAGGCAGAATGACAGAATGTTAAAAGAAGTTACTTTTAGTCACTCTAAGCTGGGCATTGCGTTCTCTGGCTGTTCAAAGCCATGGAACTTTAGACTTTCCAAGCAAATAATGATGGCCATACTGATGTTCTTTTCAGTACATTTTACTTTATGGTCATTTTCATTTTTATGATGTTTCTATTTTTACATAATTCCTCCCACATAGCAAAATTGGTATGGCCTGGATCTGTCCTACACAATGTGCTTACACATGGCCTGCGTACCGCAAAGAATGACGGCCCTATGGTGGCCCAGATCTGGTTTACCAGAGGTGGCCCACACATGAGCCAGCACAAGGCCAGTTGCAGACACACTGCTGGCCCTGTGCTGGCCCAGAACAGTTTCAGCTCTGGCCCCAGATGTCAGCCTAATGTGTACCTTAGCCATGTAAGCCATGTAATAACAACATGTGCTGGAACATAATAGTGCAAAAGTAACATGACGAAACTCTGTTCAGACAGTGAATGGACTGATTCTTATACAGCACTTTTTTACTCACCCATATTACTTAAAGTGCTCTATACAACATGTCACATTCACCCAATCAGGCCAAATGTTGGCATGCCATCACATAAACAGTGCCATCTTACCATGCCAGAAGTCATCCAGCAGTGCCGGCTTGACACCAGATCCAGGCAAGACCCGTCTGCTTTGTGGGATGACTTGTTCTTTTGGCGTTTTAGTTGTGGATTATGTTTGGGCTGTGTCTCTTGCCCTTTCAGTATTGTTTCCTTGTGCTTCTAAGTGTCCCTTTGTTTCTTTTTAGGTTATGTAGTATGGGTTAGAGATATTTTGTATGTTGTTTTTGTTTAATAAATCCGCCTTTTGGATTATTCCCTGATGTGCCTGAGTTCTGTTATTTAGTGTCACTTTGAAAGGACACACATCCAGCATTGACATATAATTGTTCTTTCAATTTTTGATAAAGATTACAGTGAATTGAGATGTAACTTGGCCCAGAGGTACGGTAGGACGCCCAGAGTAAGAAAGTGTTGAAAGTTGGACCTCAACTATTATGGATGATTTTTAATGAATTTTTGAAATTTCCATAATTGTAGTGTATTGGCTGTATTGAATTGCATATAAATGTCCTTTAATTTCTGAGTAATTTTACAGTAAATCTGGCTGAAACTTGGCACACAGGTACAGTAGGTGTCCCAGAGAAGGGATGTGTTGAAAGTTGGACCTCAACTACTCAGGATGATTTTTCATGAATTTTTGAAAATTGACATATTTGTAGTGTATTGACTGTATTGAATTGAATAGACGTTTCCATTAATTTCTGAGGAATTCTACAGTAAATCTGGCTGAAACTTGGCACACAGGTACAGTAGGTGTCCCAGAGAAAGAATGTGTTGAAAGTTGGACCTCAACTACTCAGGATGAATTTTAATGAATTTTTGAAAATTGACATAATTCTATTGTATTGGCTGTATTAGATTGAATAAATGTTTCCTTTAATTTCTGAGGAATTCTACAGTAAATCTGGATGAAACTTGGCACACAGGTACAGTAGGTGTCCCAGAGGAGGGATGTGTTGAAAGTTGGACCTCAACTACTCAGGGTGATTTTTAATGAATTTTTGAAAATTGACATAATTCTATTGTATTGACTGTATTGAATTGAATATAAGTTTCCTTTAATTTCTGAGGAATTCTACAGTAAATCTGGCTGAAACTTGGCACACAGGTACAGTAGGTGTCCCAGAGGAGGGATGTGTTGAAAGTTGGACATCAACTACTCAGGATGATTTTTAATGAATTTTTGAAAATTGACATAATTCTATTGTATTGGCTGTATTAGATTGAATAAATGTTTCCTTTAATTTCTGAGGAATTTTACAGTAAATCTTGATGAAACTTGGCACACAGGTACAGTAGGTGTCCCAGAGGAGGGATGTGTTGAAAGTTGGACCTCAACTACTCAGGATGATTTTTAATGAATTTTTGAAAATTGACATAATTCTATTGTATTGACTGTATTGAATTGAATATGTTTCCTTTAATTTCTGAGGAATTCTACAGTAAATCTGGATGAAACTTGGCACACAGGTACAGTAGGTGTCCCGGAGGAGGAATGTGTTGAAAGTTGGACCTCAACTACTCAGGATGATTTTTAATGAATTTCTAAAATTTCCATAATTGTATTGACTGTATCGGGCTGTTTCATTGTAATTTGTGTGCGCGCATGTGCGTGCGACTGTTCGCGCGCGCACGTGTGCGCGGGTATAGGCTTTCAATCGGCACATAAAGCGAAAACGCGCTACCGTAAAGACTGGTGTAAAAGCGCAAGAAATTTATGCGGCGGATAAGAGGCGGCTGGCTTGACCGCGGCTCACAAATGACGGCTCACTTTACCGCGGTGCTCTATCACGTGATGCATACTGCTCCGACGTGCTAACGTTCTGAGGTGAGTTACAGCGTGTTGCAAGTTTTGTGAGGTGCTTTCGTGATATTTAATGGATCGGATTACATTTTTTATTTTTCTCCGATATCCGATCCAGTAATTTAGGTCAGTATCGGACCGATACCGATACGTAATATCGGATCGGTCCATCTCTACTATATAATGCCCAAGAGAAAAGACATTAGCAGTGATCTTAGGGAAGCAATTGTTCCTGTCCAACAGTCTGGGAATGTCCTCTTCCAAATAATTTGAAGTTCATTCTTCTACAGTGAAAGATTTAGGACTCATTTAGCATCTTAAATGTTAAAGGTCATAACAGTGTAATTATAAGACTGAACAAGTATGGCCTGCTTGGAATAGTTGCCAGAGGAAAACCTCTTCTTGCTAAACAGAATATGGCACTAAGGCTAAGGTTTCCAAAGTTGCATCTTGAAAAAACCACAAGTCTTCTAAGAGAAAGGAATCAAGCTTATGCCCATACCACCCTTAGCACACCAGCTGTCAGAAGGTAAGTCGAGTCAAGTCTGGTTAATACTGGGATGGAGGACTACCTGGGAATACCAAGTGCTGTACTGTTTGCTTAGGATTTAGAGTGCACTATAGCACAGAAAAAGGACTAGGGCAGATTCTTATGCAGTGGACGTCCCTTTGTGCTCGTCCTGCTAAATGTTAGTGCAGCATATAATACTGTTGACTAAAACAGTACAGAGATTAGAGCACACATTTGGTATATCTATCTGATTGATTTCAATTAGTGCATATAAATAGAAAAGGTTTCACACATAAAAGTTCACAGAGTTCAACAGGGTTCAACAGGGTTCTGTGCTGGGACCAATTCGTTTTACATATAGGAATAGATAGAAAACACTGTCATTCCTATGCTTTCTTCAAATCAACTGTTAAACTGCAGACATATTTGAAAGACTTGAAAGCCTGGATGACCTCTAATTTCTCACTTCTAAATTCAGACATAGTTCATTGCACATTACCTTGTAACACTGTAATTCATTTTTGACCAGTATATGTCTTTCAATACACACATTAAACAAATATGTCTAGGACTACTTTCTTGCGTTTGCACAAATAAAACTAAAATGATAGAAACATCCTGTCTCAGAATGATGCTGAAAAGTCTTCAGTTAATGCAGAATGCTGCAGCAGAAGTACTAAATAGGACTGTGCTTTCTCATAGGGACAGAGGAATTCCCATAAGCTACCTTATGAATAACATAGGAGAGACCTGCTTTCCTAGTGGGAATGTGCAGTTATGAAACTGTTTGAAACTTTGAGGCTGTATTTAAAGACACACCCTATGCTTAAATTAATTGGTCTTGCTACTGGAAAGGACCTTTAGGAAGACATTCAAACCCTCTCCAGTGAAAAATGGTAATTATTACATAATGTTTCCTTGCAGAGCTGCAGTCAGGTGGTTTTGGCAGGATGAGGGACGGTTATGCATTATTAATTATAATCCAGGAAACACACACTGTACAGTTTACTTTTACTGGATATTGAACTGTCTCCTCTCTTATCTTTTCCTCTCCAAGTTTTTTTTTTTTATACCAAAAGGTTTCAGATTAGGACTCAGTGTGCATTTTGTTAAACTGGATCTTAATCCTGGTTCTTCTTCAGGACACTTGCATTTGGGTGCATCATTTATTTACATTGTAGCTTTTATACATGAATATATGCTGGAAAGATTTAGAAAGAAAGATAATGCATTCGAAGCGTGTCTGTGCGTTTGTGTTTTGAGTTACTGTCACGTTGAACTTTGACTCTTTTGCTGTCAGGTGAGTGGATCTGCTCAAGCCGTAAATCCAATGGTTCCAAAGTTCACACACACACACACACACACACACACACACACACACACACACACACACACACACACACACACACACTCTTCAACCTCTTCAAAAAAGACGAGACATGATATTGGCTTTTATTCAGTTCTTGTAGAATTACCATAGCCACACCAATAACCTCTTGCCTAACCTTAAATCAAGTATTCACCCTAAATTTTATTAATTTACTTTGAATCTCTGCAAATTAGCTGTGTAAACACATTTATGTCCCCACAACATGGGCAATACTTGTACACACACATCACAGGAATTCACACACCTCTTTTATGGCAACATTTGGTGCAGACAATAAAATCAGATCAACAGGGTGTCACTCTTCACTGGATCAGAAGGTCATTATTTCTTCTGAAACGGATGTCTTTTCCCCTGAGATTCCAAAGTTGAAAACAAAATAAATCATAAAGAGCTTTGGGCTGCACAGGACTGAAAGGTAAGAGCATGTTTCCTCTGTCTGTGTGCTTGCGTGCTGTATATAGCTTCTCTTCCTGTTCCTGTAGTTTGGTTCTTTCTAAGTTCTTCTGCAGGTTATCTTAGCACCAGGATACTTAAAAGTGACCACATTGCTGCACAAAAGTGTTTCCTGTTTATGTAGACATTTTTAGGCTTCGTGGGCCATATTTGAATTGGTCATTTTACAGTGTATTGCTAAATTGGAAAGCAGAGATAAAGAAGGAGATTTTGACAGCAGTATGGATTTTAGACTGATCTTTATCTTTAGACTGAGGTTAGCTTAGCTTGGAACAAAGTTTAAATATCCTGTTTAAACTTTTTAGTACATCCATCTGGTTGCTATACATTTAGCAAAATTAAGATTTCACTTTCAAGATGATGCATTGCAATAAATTGTGTTTTGCAATATTTGTAAAATTTTTAAACAAGAGAATAAGTGAAGGATAATAGGACAACACATGAGGTTATCTACCTTTCTATCTGTGCCTGAATGTCTTGGCATCACTCCACAAAATCAAAGATCAACTTAGGTTTGACAGTTATAAAAAAAGAAGTGTGCATACACACACATTAATGGCACAAAGCAATGAGTCAGTGAGTTAGGTTATTAAAGCTTAGGAATTTTTACAGCTACATTACATTTAGGTGTAACTGCTGTTGTCAGCATGGAAGAAAATAAAATGTGTCCAATTTAACCGTTGAACTCAAGCAAGTGAACTGACAACTCAGTTTAATTTGCCTAGTCAGCTGATTAATCCTACCAAAGGGCAAATGATGAGTGAGGCTTAAATACTTAAAGGATCATTCTGCTTTATTTCAGTCTGGTTTATTGCCCCTATTCTGTTTCTCCTCTTGCTCTAAGGCTCTTTTTAACTTAGGCCATGCAATCACTTTGTGTCCGTCTCTGTTATTTGACTATCATGCATGTTATGCTTATTTTAAGCATTGCTTAAAAATCAGTGACTTCGACAAGTCAATCGCAATGTGTCAAAGAACCAGTGTAGTGCGACAGAGGCTCTAATAACCAAGAGGCACAAGAACACAAGGATGCATAAACAGAACTATGACACTTTGAACAGTAACAACTAAAGTCTTTCAGTTTGCATTTTTTTTGCCTTTAACCTGCAGACTGAAATGTTAAAAGCATTAACTGACACTCCTGTGTGCCACGGATGTGTCTGTCTGATATTACGCTCTCTGATGTGTTGCTGTTGTCCAAACTAGATCTCTCATGAAAACGTGTTTTTTACTTGTTTAAAGCTGTATAAAGTTAAAGCAAGAAAAGGTCAAGATCTGAAAACTGCGTGTGTTTGTGACTTTTAATGTTTTTCATGTTCAGCCCATCAGGATGGCGACAGAGGAGGATGGGGCTGGGAGAGTCCGACAGCTGCAGGAGCAGCGGATGGGAGTTCAAAAGAAAACGTTCACCAAGTGGATGAACAGTGTCTTCCACAAGAATGGGGTGAGATGGGAAGAAGAAATAATTCTAAGAAATAATTATGCATTGCATATGTAAGTTACAGTGGGGCAAAAAAGTATTTAGTCAGCCACCGATTGTGCAAGTTCCCCCACCTAAAATGATGACAGAGGTCAGTAATTTGCACCAGAGGTACACTTCAACTGTGAGAGACAGAATGTGAAAAAAAAAATCCATGAATCCACATGGTAGGATTTGTAAAGAATTTATTCGTAAATCAGGGTGGAAAATAAGTATTTGGTCAATAACAAAAATACAACTCAGTACTTTGTAACATAATCTTTGTTGGCAATAACAGAGGTCAAACGTTTACTATAGGTCTTTACCAGGTTTGCACACACAGTAGCTGGTATTTTGGCCCATTCCTCCATGCAGATCTTCTCGAGAGCAGTGATGTTTTGGGGCTGTCGCCGAGCAACACGGACTTTCAACTCCCGCCACAGATTTTCTATGGGGTTGAGGTCTGGAGACTGGCTAGGCCACTCCAGGACTTTCAAATGCTTCTTACGGAGCCACTCCTTTGTTGCCCGGGCAGTGTGTTTTGGATCATTGTCATGTTGGAAGACCCAGCCTCGTTTCATCTTCAAAGTTCTCACTGATGGAAGGAGGTTTTGGCTCAAAATCTCACGATACATGGCCCCATTCATTCTGTCCTTAACACGGATCAGTCGTCCTGTCCCCTTGGCAGAAAAACAGCCCCATAGCATGATGTTTCCACCCCCATGCTTCACAGTAGGTATGGTGTTCTTGGGATGCAACTCAGTATTCTTCTTCCTCCAAACACGACGAGTTGAGTTTATACCAAAAAGTTCTACTTTGGTTCCATCTGACCACATGACATTCTCCCAATCCTCTGCTGTATCATCCATGTGCTCTCTGGCAAACTTCAGACGGGCCTGGACATGCACTGGCTTCAGCAGCGGAACACGTCTGGCACTGCGGGATTTGATTCCCTGCCGTTGTAGTGTGTTACTGATGGTGACCTTTGTTACTTTGGTCCCAGCTCTCTGCAGGTCATTCACCAGGTCCCCCGTGTGGTTCTGGGATCTTTGCTCACCGTTCTCATGATCATTTTGACCCCACGGGATGAGATCTTGCGTGGAGCCCCAGATCGAGGGAGATTATCAGTGGTCTTGTATGTCTTCCATTTTCTGATGATTGCTCCCACAGTTGATTTTTTCACACCAAGCTGCTTGCCTATTGTAGATTCACTCTTCCCAGTCTGGTGCAGGTCTACAATACTTTTCCTGGTGTCCTAAGAAAGCTCTTTGGTCTTGGCCATGGCGGAGTTTGGAGTCTGACTGTTTGAGGCTGTGGACAGGTGTCTTTTATACAGATGATGAGTTCAAACAGGTGCCATTCATACAGGTAATGAGTGGGGGACAGAAAAGCTTCTTAGAGAAGACGTTACAGGTCTGTGAGAGCCAGAGATTTTCCTTGTTTGAGGTGACCAAATACTTATTTTACACCCTAATTTACGAATAAATTCTTTACAGATCCTATCATGTGAATTCATGGATTTTTTTTTCACATTCTGTCTCTCACAGTTGAAGTGTACCTCTGGTGCAAATTACTGACCTCTGTCATCATTTTAAGTGGGGGAACTTGCACAATCGGTGGCTGACTAAATACTTTTTTGCCCCACTGTAAATGAATTTATTTAACTTGCATACATGTTCCAGCACATTTGACTAAAGGTTGTTACACATAGTCGTAACTGTACGAGACATAATCAGGATGTTTGTATTATGAGGATGTGACAGTTACAAAGCGATGGGTGCAGTAAATATTATCTCTTAGTTCTTTTCAATGTAAACAACCAAATTTTCAAGCCAACATTAAATGATACGATCGTGGCTCAAGAGTTGAGAGTTCGCCTTATAATCGGAAGGTTGCCGGTTCGAGCCCCGGCTTGGACAGTCTCGGTCGTTGTGTCCTTGGGCAAGACACTTCACCCGTTGCCTACTGGTGGTGGTCAGAGGGCCCGGTGGCGCCAGTGTCCGGCAGCCTCGCCTCTGTCAGTGCGCCCCAGGGTGGCTGTGGCTACAATGTAGCTTGCCATCACCAGTGTGTGAATGTGTGTGTGAATGGGTGGATGACTGGATATGTAAAGCGCTTTGGGGTCCTTAGGGACTAGTAAAGCGCTATATAAATACAGGCCATTTACCATTTCTTAAGACCGAAGGAAGGGAATTCCAGAGCCGAGGAGCAGAGCGGCTGAAAGCTCTGCTCCCCATAGTGATAAGACGAGCAGGAAGAACAACAAGATGAGCGCCAGATAAAGATCTGAGAGAGCGGGAAACAGTGGTGATATGAAACAAATCACAGAGATTAGGAGGGGCAAGATTATGGTTGCACCTGAGAAAGAGTCTTATCTTTTTCAACTTAAGCAAATAAGGAATTAAGGAAGGAATTAAAGTGTCTTTAATCCAGGTGCTGGAGATTTCTTTTTTTATTACAATTAACCTCTTCATAAGAAGGGTCATAAAAGCTAAGGACCTTTGATTATTATTTTGTGTGTGTTCACACACTAACTACACTTTATTACTATATTAGATTTGACTTTACAATCTCAACAGCATTTGTGCATTTTATCCTTACATGCTTACACTTTCTTCTTACCCACTGCAAGGTTATCAAATATTTTTGAGGCCTCTATGTTGGCCAACTAGCTGTCATCTTAGAGCAAAGTGTGAAGTTGGAAACTAACAAATGCTAGGTTGGTTAGCAGGTTCAGTCCTTAAACCAAAAAAGAGGAAAACACAGACAGAGATGGCTGCTATTTAGTGATAAGTAAAAGCAATTTATTTATGGACAGAATCCAAAGACAGATAGGCGGGCCAGTCCATATACATCACAGTGATAAAGTTATACTCACAGTCAGCACTTTTTAAAATGAAATGATAACGTTTGAAGCCATGCAAAATCTTACCTTCACACGATTAACGTTTTCTAAAATATAGGCCCTTAAATTACTGTCATGATTATTAATAGTAGAGCCAAAAATCATTTCATATCTATTAAAGATATTAAAAACATAAAAAAACAAACATTCTGCAGTCCCAACATTTTGACTTAAAGATTTTTTTATTTAAAAAAAGTTAATCACTGCAGTAATGTGCAAAATATTCAAAAATACTGCAGGGTGATAACATATGATACTGTATATAGCAGTTTAATACACAATTCTTATTCTTTAATACACACTTTTTGATCATTTGAGTACATTTCCTTACCTCTGTTACGCAGTAGAAAGTGCATTGTGGTATTAGTACTTTTACTTTAGTGAAGGACTTGCTTCACTGATTTTGTTCCAAACTTGTTACAATGTTACAAAAAAAAAATATCCAAAGACAGAATTACGGTACAAGTTGATTCACAGCAGCTACACAGAAGACACATAATAGTGTAGAGGGAATTCCAGGAGTTGGTAATGGATAGAGAAAGAAATCTAAATTAGAGGTTACAACATACACAGGAAATGCAGTATCATCAAATACTTAAATGTTTAAGTGGAGAGGAAGGATTGAAAAGTAACTGATCTTAAACTGAATTCTCAAACCATTTGAGAATAAATCACACCACCTGTAGGCGTTTGTTTGGTCTAGCAAGTAGATAAAAGAATGGCACCCACACACTTAGACTAAGGTTACCAAATAACTGCAAGGTTTAGTAATATTTCTGATTTGCAAGCTTGAACAACGTGAACATCAAAAATCTGGTACAGTAACGGGGAGCTTCTATGTCAGGTTTGGCTTGTAACTGAAACTGTCCGGATCTCCTGCAGGAGAAATTGGAGCTGACTGACGTCTATACTGAACTTAAAACCGGAGAAGTTCTGATCCGTCTGCTGGAGTTCATCGCCAACGAGAAGTTGCCATCGCGGAGCCGAGGCAAGATGAGAGTCCACTTTCTGGAGAACAACAGCATTGCCATCAATTTCCTCAAAACCAAAGTAACCTACTTTTTGCTTTTTGGTGTCCTGAAAGTGATCCACCAAATTTACAAATATACAAAATTAATCTTATACACACAAACCTCAGTGTACAAGTGTATATGGTTATAGTATTATTCCTCATGAGGAGAACGGTCTTTTCTCAGTATATTTTAATCTTGATTAAATGTTAGTTCTAAAAAGCCAATCAGATTATCCTAAATATCAAGGTAATGACTTTCAGTTCTTACTGGCAGCTGTAAAATGTTGAACTTCATAGCAGTCTCACGAACGACAGCTTCACACTGCTCTATGCTCTACTGTTAGATTCGGGTGGATTTAATTGGTCCAGAAAATGTGGTGGATGGGGATCGTACACTGATCCTGGGGCTGCTGTGGATCATCATCCTCAGGTTTCAGATTGGACATATTAACCTGGAAGAGGTATCGAATTAAAACTACAGCAGAATTAGTTATCTCCTTTAATTTAAACAATTTATTTATGAATTTAACATATTTAACATTTTCCCTCTTTTTTGGGGTATTTTCCTTTTCCCTTTCCTTTCCCTTGCTCCTCCACATTTTTACTTTTGTCTTTCCATCTTCTTGTCTTTTAAATTTTTTCCATTTTTGCCTTGTTCTCATTTCATCTCACCCCCTTCCCTCCTCCTCCTTCTCAGGGGAACAGCGTAGCTCATCGCTCAGCCAAGGAGGCTCTGCTGATCTGGTGTCAGAGGAAAACATCAGGCTACAATGGTGTTGACGTGCAGGACTTTTCCTCCAGCTGGAGGGATGGACTTGCCTTCAATGCTCTTATCCACGCCCACCGGTAGCATACTTGTGCACACGCATTTTTGTTGTATTTGTGAGGTCCCTCATAAAATATTTCCTAAAATATCCTCAAAAGTCAAAAACTCAAATGGAAACTCAAATCGCTTCTCACAGAGTAAACATACATGTGTCTGTCCATCCCAGACCTGACCTTTTTGACTACCACCGTTTCCATGGTGATAACCCCCAGCGTAATCTGGAGCATGCGTTCACTCTGGCAGAGCGGGAGTTCAGTATCATGCAGCTTCTGGAGGTGGATGACATCATGGTCGCTCATCCTGATGAAAAGTCCATCATGACCTACGTGTCTCTGTACTACCACTACTTTTCCAGGATGAAGCAGGGGCAGACCATCCAGAAGAGACTTGCCAGGGTTGGATTCAGCACAAACATAAACACAGCAGCATTGCATACAACAGAAAAAAAGATCAGTCAGATAATAAATAATATGACCATAATAGCATAATACATAATATTAATTGAAGCCCAAGTGATTCTAAATTTGTGTATAGATGAATGCATATAAATATATACGACACATACAGACATGCACATGTTATAGATATTAAAGGTGACATATTTCTAATATAAGGCAGAATTGTTTCTGTTTAACTAAACGTGCAGTAAAAATAAAAAAGAGAAGCAATGGGGCAGAGAAAGAGTCTGTATCAGTCTGTCAGTCCATCTTTTCAGACTCAGTCGGCTCTTGTAACTTGATGTTGATTAGCAAAAACCGAGGCTGGTTACAATGGAAAATCTAATCTATAAGGCAGGTTTATTTGTCCCTAAACTCAGATTGTGGGTCATTTTTTTCTTTAAATAATGTGTTGCTTGACATAATGTCTGTCATACCGTTTATAGTGTGGACTGCTCTGCCCCATGTGGTATTGTAACCTGCTCTAAATAGTATAGATTACTGCTACAATGACAAGCTGCTGCTCACACAAAACACAAAACACAGCTGGTGGGATTTTTATTTTGGTAGATAAGAAGGTATTAGTAGCTCAAAGGAGAACCTTTCATAAAAGAGGGGCTGTGGATGTTAAGAATCACATCAGATCACATACAATGAGATGCTGCTGGAGGCAGCAGCAGGAACTCATTCAGAGAACCTCACACCTTTAACACACCGAAGCTACAAGCCTTTATCTGCTTCACACATGTTCCTTCTGCTGTACATGATAATAACCAAGTTAAACTGTTTTGGGGCTGAGTGTTGTCAGATGTTTTTTTAAGGTTTGCATTTTGTTTATTTGGACTGAGGGTTATGGTTGCAGGAGTGAAAGTGCTGTGACTGAACACTGATGCTGCTGTATTGCTTCTCATTCTTAAATAACAACCACATTAGTTAATGGGAGGTGAAACTAATATGTTTAATTTCTCATCTTAAGTCGCGTACACAATGGAAGTGATAACTACAGCTTTGAAAATTATGTTAGAAGTCACTTTTATATTTATTAGTATTTTTGCATTGATAGGTAGGCAACTATAAATCAAAAATTAAGCAAGCCAATCATGTGATGTAATATAACAGCCATGCATTTTAAAATCAACATTGGCTCATATAGCTTGTGATAGTGATAGTGCTCAGGTGCAGTGACCAGCATTTTCAGAATGCCAGGAAGTGACTGACAGCAGCCTTTTGCAATAAGATTGAGCAGTTTCAGATGGACACTTTTTTACCCCAGTGGGGTTGAGGGGACATCAAGAGGGGCAGGTGCAGGATGCAGAATTACAGTTTGCTGAATTAGAGTCAACCAGCAACAATGGGGATAGCCTATTAACAATGAAATCATTAAGAAGGCAAGATAGGTAATTTAAGGATTAATTTAAATGAGCAACTTTTCTTGGTTGCTAATTCTTTGGTTACGAACAATATTTTTGTCTTTGATTTGCCAGTCCAGATTCCATTTTAACATATCAAACCAAAACATCCAGAACACAAAAGTAGGACTTCATTCTTTTCTCCACAGATTGTTGGGATGCTCATGGAGCTGGATGGCATGAAGATCCAGTATGAAAGAATGGTCTCAGATCTGCTTCGCTGGATCAAAACTAAGGTAACAGGTCAATCCCAGAAAAAACACAGGAATATAAGACAAAAAAACAAAACAATTAATGAATTAAATTTGGTGATTATTTTTTGACTGAAGATGGTGCAGCTGAATGACAGAAGATTCCCAAACTCTTTGAGGGAGATGCAGAAACTGATGAGCGCTTTTAAGACCTACAGAACTGTGGAGAAACCTCCCAAATACCAGGTCAGATGACCCTCACATTTTAAATTCAGCGTCCTCCTTTGTTCATCTCCTTAAAGTTAAGTCTTGTTTTTCCAGGAGCGTGGGGCAATTGAGGCCCACTTGTTCAGTCTGAGGACTCAACTGGCAGCCAACAACCAATGGGCTTATAATCCTCCCGAAGGTACAGAACACTAACAGTCAATTATAATATAAGGGCTGCTATGACAAAGATCGCTCATGCTGTTGTGTATTTGTAAAGGTAAAACTCTGAATGACATCGAGAAGAGCTGGGCTATGCTGGAGAGGGCGGAACATGAACGAGAGCGAGCCCTACAGGAAACGCTGCTACGCCTGGAAAGCCTGGAGCAACTTGCACAGAAGTTTGCCAGGAAGGTAACGCCACTCTACTCATATGAATGTCTTTGTTACAAGTCTCCCAGTTTTGATCGTAATGTTATGGAGTTGCCTGACATATTCCTGAGTAAATTATAAAAACAACTTTGTGATTACAAATCACTGTGTTGTGCGTAGAAACAAATTTCAGTGAGTTTTGGTAATGTTAACCTTAAAATGGATGCGACCTTTTGACCACTCTTGTTCCACTGGACATATATGCAAGATCTTGTTATTTGTTATTAACAACCCCACAGAAAAGTAGATACACACAACACAACAAAAAAGTATAATTTTGATTTAATTTTAAACTTTTTTTTATTAAAATAGGTATATCAGTTTGGAATCTGTTCAGAATGGAATACCCTTTACTTAAAGCTGGGAAATGGGGACAAACGTGTTGCTGGGATTTTGTGAATTTGTTTGTGTAATGTTAACTTAAAATGGAAACCACTTTTTGGCATCAGAAAGGTTAATCTATGCAGACAAACAGCATTCAAAACCCTGGATCTGATATTCAACTTTCTGCCTGTTTTTATGGCTCCTTAAAAAATCCCCAATAGACTGCAAAATCCTTCCTTTTTGTCTTCTCAGGCAGCTCTGAGGGAGGGCTATCTTGAGGACACACTGCGTCTGATCCGGAGGCAGGACATCCGAGGTCTGTCCACACTGGAGGAGGCTCAGGCAGCTGGCCGGCGTCTGGAGGCCTTGGCTACCGATGCACTGGCCAGGGAGCCACGCTTCACGGCCCTCAGAGACATGGCAAAATCCATCGAGAAAGGAAACTACCACAGCAAGGAGCAGGTCATTGGGAGGTGGGAGGATGAAAACAATGACTTTGTGTAACACTCTTTTTGAAGGGAGAAGAACCAAGAAGTGACATTAATTAAAAAAAAAAAAACTTGTACTCTACATAATAATATATTTGTTTCTAAGGGAGGAGAACATTAGCCATCGATGGAAGGACCTGCTGCAGCAGCTCCAAGAACAGAGGATGCTTTTGGGAAATGTAGTTGAAACTCTGAGCATCCTGCGGGACATTGAGCTTGTCTCCCAGGAACTGAAAGAACTACAAGTGAGCTTATTATTCGAAATTTAGTTATAATGACGACACTGGAGTTTTACTTAGATTGTACTGTGAGAGAAGTGGGGTGACTTTAATATTACTGACTGTCCCCTCCCTTATCCCATCTTAGTCCCAAGCCAGTTCCTCTGAACTGGGGAAGCAGCTGACGGAGGTGGAGTCTCTTCTTCAGAAACAAGATCTCCTGGAAGCTCAGATCTCAACTCATGGTGAAACCATCACTGCAATCAGTAGCAGAGCTCTGAAGGTACGCTAATAATTGGCATCTCATGTCCTATTAGTTCACTGTTTGGGGAATTTGTAAGGGTGATTTCTGTCAGACTGACCCACCTCCTTTCTCTCACTCAGGCAAAAGTAAGGGATGGGCAGCAGATTCAGAGCAGAGTGAGAGCTCTTGACACTCAGTACAAATCGCTGGTGTCTCTCAGCAGCAGCAGGTTTGCTTTAGTTTTCTCATTTACAGCATGAGGGAAAAATCATTTATCAAGCAACAGGTCTAAACGTGTAACATTTCTTTGTATGTCCAAAATGGTGGAATAGAAAGTCTAATTAGTCTGATATTCTGTTGCTACATCTCTCACCTGTGCTCATCTTGCCTCACATCTTTCCTTTGCTGTGTCAGGAGGAGGCAGTTGGAGGCTCAGTTGAGGTTGTTTGAGTTCCTCTATGACTGTGAGGAGTTGGAGGCCTGGATCTATGAGCGCTGGTTAAAGCTGCAGACGGCTGGACTTGGAAGAGACCTCAACCACATCCAGGTGGCCGAACACAAGCACAAGGTGAGCCAGAAAGCTGTGTATACGGACACTTGAGCCCATAAGGTTCCATGCTTTGGACTTTGACACTGTGAAGAAGTTTTGTTTGCTTTTTTACACAGGCACGTGTGTTACAGTGGTTTAAGGGTGTTCTTTGTGAATGTGTTAACTCTGAATTATGTGATGAAAAGTCAACTTTTTTGTGCCTCTTGTGAAAAACACAGGATTCATATTATTTTACAGATTGTCAAAACTTTAGAAATGTTACATTGTTATTCTTTATTAAAAAAAGAATAACAAAAGCTTATAAAGCAGATACATGTTTCTGTTTTTTTTTTAAATGCCTTAAACTAAAGCAAGACAGGACTCTAAGTCAAAAGATTAACTTAAAGAGGCAGCTTTTATTTGCTGTGAAAACTAAAACCAAAATACATGAACACTGTCACTCGGCGCAGACTGAAATCACAGAAAACTGAATTTTATTTACACACTCCCGGTTCACTATACACAGGTGAAGGAGAAGGGGGCCAAGGTTCCCAGGGGTACAGGGAAGAATCAGGAAAAGTGTCCTCTCTTGCTCCGCTCCACACGAACAGAACAATGCACTTGGAAAGGTCCTTTCCTCACACACGCCACTCTCACTGCGGCACTCACGAACAGGCTTCGGTGTCCAAACTTCCAAACCGAGCACGAAGAATCTGTATACAGAGATCAGGAATTAACACGGAAAACTTTCACGAAGAGAGCTCAAAACTGGCTGAGGCTAAAGTAGCACTGACGAGCGTTACTCAATAGTCCAGCAGCGAGGTGCTCTCAGTCACTGCCTTAAGTAGCGAGAGCAAACAAGGTGAGGAGCCACAGGTGATTGCTTGCAGGTGGTGATGGCCAGGGGCGGGAGCCCACAATGAACTCCACCCAGGCAGCAAGTAGAGAGAGAGGAGAGAGAGAGAGCGAGACAAAAGCAACACACATGTAGCCACACAGGGCCAGCCGGGCAGGCACCATGACAAACACTACACAAACAAAAGATAAACTAGAACTAACAACTGAACTGGACTAGACTTGACAACATGGAACTAACACCAGAACACAGCTTACATGGAGAACACGACAATGAACAGAGTGAGACTAAACACTTAAATACAGATGAAGGATAACAAGGGGATGGAAACAGGCGGGAACACAGCTAGGACTAATCAAACCTGAGAAGACAGGGAGGAAGCAAAACTAAATACACTGAATACAGGACAAAGGACTATCAAAATAACACAGGAAACAAGAGACACACATTAAGATGTAAACACAGGAAACGGGGGGAGCGAGGGTCATGAAGGGGAGACAGATAATAATGGATTGGATTTATATAGCGCTTTTCAAGGCACCCAAAGCGCTTTACAATACCGCGCCATCGGCCCAACACCAGTAGGCAAGTAGGGTAAAGTGTCTTGCTCAGGGACACAACGACCAGGACAGAGAGCCCAGGGATCGAACCGGCGACCTTCCGGTTACAGATGCGATTCCCAACCCCCTGAGCCACGGTCGCCCGATGAATCAACACGGAGAGAAAATTTAACATGCGCGAGAGACATGATAGACTACACAAGCAACAAGGACACAGGGGAGGCCAAGCACAGAACCATGAATAATATTAACCACAAGAATGTAGAATATTGTGTAAAACATAATCTTAAAAAGAAGAAAACATAAATCCTGAGCTCCGACTCACGGCCCTGACAATATAGAGTTGGACCTACAATAGGTTGCATGCTGTGTGGATTGTTGAGGGATTATGGACCTAAAACCAGGATGCAGGAAACAGTGACTAAACTCTAAGCAAGTTTTAATGGTGATAACCCAGAGAGTAAACCAAGCCAAAATCCAGAAGCTGAATACAAAAAGCAGGAAATCCAAAACATCAAGGGACACTTGGCATCAAGGACGACAGAGACAATACAAGAGGTACGAGGTAAATGTTCGTCATGTGACAATTGAAACTAATCTTGAGACAAGCGAAGTAGGAATAAAAACAAAGCACAAGTGACAAAAGACTATAAAAATAAAACAGGAAGTAACAAAACACCAACACAATGACTCTAACAAACAAACAAACCGAAATAAGTGAAACAAAGGATTAAGTCATCGGGAATAACCAATCAAACTAAGACTTAAGAATTCAAAAATACACAAGCTGAAAAAAGTCCAAAGCCCAAGACCACGAAACAATATTTGCCAAGTTTTAAATGAAATGAAAATAACATAAACAAGAAACAGCAATGCAAAGAACAGAAGTGCATCTAAACAAAACAGACAAATAATAACATTTAAATTCTGGTTTAAGTCATGTAATCTGGTTAATCTGACTGTTTTTAGGCTGAACATGACCCCACCTTGAGAATAAAGGCAATTTAAATCTATCTTGACTCTAAATGCCACTTCAAATAAATCATAATTTGATAGGTGCTGGAGGCAGAGGTCCAGGCCCAGGAGTCTTTGTATAAAGGTGTCCTGGGTCGAGGTCAGGATCTGCTCTCCAAACAGAGTCAGGAGAATCAGCAAGCTGTTCAGAAGTGGATCAGGACTCTCAAGAAGCAGTGGAGCCACCTGACTGACGAGGTGACGGGACACCGCGACAGACTGCAGGCTGCCGCTACCATAAAGCAGGTGAATAATAGTGGCGAGCCGGCTCCTTATCGCAAGCCGTGGGTTTTTTTCCCCTTTCTCTCACCCTCTCTCTCACACTTTTTCCCGCTTCACTCCGTACACGAGCCTTGTGCTTTGCGCTGGGCAGAGGGGGGAGGGGCGGTAGTTACACTCGCAGTAGCACAGGAACAGAGCGGGAGGGAGAGAGAGAGAAAGAGAGCCAGGGACAACAACGTCACATTAGAAAGGTATAGTAATCATCCACAACTATTTTCAGTTGCGGATGATAAAGGATTCAGAAAGTTTATTCATGCAGGCCCATATGACAGAGAATATGCATGTTCTTTTTGTTTTCATATTTTTTCTTATTTATATTTAATTGTGTTGTGGTTTGCAGTGTTTTGTGTTGTTTCACTTTAAATTTGTTTAAAAGGAAAAAGCTGAAAATTTAAATAGTTAAAGTTGAAATGTGAATAGTTGTTTTTGTTTTATATGATTTATTTATTACATTTTATGTGGAGTGAATAAATAAAAGTATATTTAGGTAGCTCTGTTTTGAAGTTCAGTTAACGCTAGAAATGTGTTTTGGAGTTTGTACGTGCTTTTTCTCTAGGGGCCACTGTATATATTTATATTTATATATAAATAAAACCACTTTTTTTTTACATTAGTAATTCCTTTTGTGCATAATTTTATATTATTGTTAATAATAAATTAATTAAATCAACAAAACAACCTGAAGAGCCGGTTCGGAGCCGAAAGAGCCGGTTCTCTAAAAAGAGCCGGAAATCCCAACACTAGTGAATAATGTGTCATTAAAGGCAGAGAAGAAGAAGAGAAGATTGAAAAAAAGCTGTTTTTGTTTAGTGTAGCTTCTTTTTGTCTGTAAACTCCTATCTCTGCTCACAACAAACACATTTTTGAGGTATTACTGTTTTTTTACAGTTAGTCTAATTATTTTGCAGTCAGATTTTTACCTGTGTGCTGCTGTTATTGTGTAGGTTCTAACCATCCTGTCACGTATGTTATGTTTTATTTTCTTGTGTGGTCTTTTGGAACCTGCTCTTGATCTCTATAGACATGCTCTAAGACAGTAACCTTTATTTCTCTGACCAGTATTTTGCAGATGTGGAGGAGGCTAACTCCTGGCTAGGTGACAGGAAGCCACTGCTGATAAGCGAGGATCATGGGAAGGACGATTCCAGCACAGCATTGCTTCTTCAGCGCCACCTTCGTTTGGAGAAGGAGATGGCAGCGTATGCCTCAGAGATAAAGAGACTGTCAGAACAGTCAAAAACTGCAGCACAGCTGACGGCGCTGACTGCACAGCAGGTCATTCTGCATGCTTTATTCAGATATTGTTTCTGTCAGATAGATTTTCCTAACATTTCTTATGTGTAGTTATTAATGAGTCCTTACTAAAATAATATAACATAGTTGAAAGATGTTTCTCCTATGTGTTCCTTACTTTTTTAATCTTCATTTATTGGCTGTTATAAACTGTGATATCAATAAACTGACAAATAGCTAATATTGGCTCTACAACACTGACTGTGATAGTAGATGCAAAGCTATAGGCAATATTTCCTCATCCCTTGTAGGCAGAGCCTCAGCAAGGCAAGATGATCCAATATAGCGATTCCTCTGGGGAAGAGGAGAAGGAGTGGCAAGGAGCACGAACCTCACTATCCAGTACCAGAGGTGGGAAGGGCCCTGTAAGCATCCCCCCTCAGAAAGAGGAAATCAAGGCCAAAGTCCGCTTCAGATACAGCAGAGGTACTGGAGTACTTAGTGTCACTGTTGTGTTGCATAGCATGATAAGGAGTGACTGCTACTCATACATGAAAACACAAGCCTATATTCTGCACTAAATAATCTGCCAGCACTACACTGTGTTATTTCATTTCTCATTTTGATACAGAATGCCCATTTTTCTCTTAAAACAGAAATCTTACTCAGGTCAGACCAAGTCACATAAAAAATATTCATTAAATATTTAGGCAAATTTATAGAGATGCTCTTGTTTACAGAGAGGACCAGATAACAGGCCAATTTAAGAGGAAAAATATCATGCATTATGTCCTTCTCTATTAACCATGTCTGAAAGTGGCTTTACTCCAATTCGCTATTTTCTGTAACACAGGCCAGGTTAACACAGGTTTACTCTGTGGTTTACTATGAAGAGCAGTAATCTGTGCTAAAAAAAATGATGACAGAAAATAAGGAAAAGCAGATTATGTAAATTGTAACTGTTTTCATTTTTGCATTTCTAAAATGTAGCCAAGTGTGTTGTGATGAACAGACATGGGCTATATCTGAAATCACACAACAGAAAAACACATAGTAGATACTTTATTGAAATGTAAAGTATAAACTAACCTGATTTCAGGTCAGTTTCCGTGGGACCGCAATGAGATTGTGACCATCGTCAGCAGTGAGCCGGATGGAGACAGAGTTGTGGCCAGAGACAGTGGAGGAAACCAGCAGTCCATTCCCAAAACCTACCTGAATATGCTGCCATCCAGTGTATGATCAATACTGAACCAGTTCTTTGGTCAGATTATGAAAATATCACATCTCGTTAGTGGACATGCTTTGTTAGTGGGCAGTGTGAAAATAAATTATTATGTATTTTTTTAAAGTGTCAATAACTTTATCACACCCTCTTCAGGTTCCTCCACCCACTCCACCTGCCTCAGCCAATGATATGCCAGAAAGCTCAAGCAAGAAACTGAGTCGTCCAAGGCGAAAACGCTCTATGCGTCGCGGCACAGCTGAGATCCAAACCACATTACTGCCAGACCCCGAGTACCAGAGAGATACTGTGGAGAGCACACAGGGCAGGTTGGACCAAGAGTACAATTTCTTGTACAACCTGGTGAAGGTGAGAGAAAGGAGCAGTATACAGAATATAAACTGTTTACTTAGTTATGTGGGAGGTTGTATTAAGATGACAGATTATTATACAGAAAAGGACATTCAGAGTAGCTGTATTCTAAAATCAGATTTATATTTATATTGGTTTTCAGACAAAGACAAAGAGCCTGGAGGAGATACTGCGTCTTCATCGATTTTACAACAGCTGCCATGAGTTTGAGTCATGGATGGAGGATAAGGAGAACATCCTCAACACCTTCAGCACTGATGGTGACAATCTAGCAGTGGTTCAGGCCAAATATGAGGTGAAGACTTCTCCAGAAAAATATTTCCAAACATATCGTACAAGACTTATCCTACAAACTGAAAACAGGGGATCAACTCATCTGGGTGAAACAAATGTCCCAATACCTCATGATTTTTCTAATTTGTTTAATCCTTAAATGCATCTCTTAAAAAATATTAAGACTACGTCACAGCCCATCATTTTGTTCAGTTAAGATCTCAGCATAAACTGTAACAGCAGTCAGGTGTTTCCTTTTGCTGATGGTGGGAAATTTAGCCTTGTGGGTTTACTTATAAATGAGTAAATAATAGCACATGGTGTTGTCGAAGCTGGCTAGATGGATTCTGATACCAACAGATTTGTAGATGAAGATCAACCTTAAGTTAAGCTCATAAATCATATTATTTATTGGGAAGGAGAAACTTTTAACCTCTAAAGCCAGAAAATCACAGGGTAAATACTGGCTTCCAATTGTCACTTCTGTAGGTTAATCAGAAATGAAAAAATGTGGCTTTAGGTAGAATACATCTGATAAGGCAGCAGTTCATATTAAGTGCCACTGAGTTTTCACTGATTTTCTTCTGTAGCATCAATCTTTCGTTTCAGTGATTTTCACCCAAACAACAACTTTTTTTTGTTGCTTTTTTAAATGATTAATTTGAGATTTTTTCTGACTTTTGGACATATTTAAGAGGCCTCATTTTTTTTATTTTCACTTCTTCAGAATAAACTCAGACAAACTCAGATTCATAAAATATCTGAATACTTTGACTCACCCTTGACTTTCTGTTTTAGAACTTTCTGACTGAGTTAGCGAGCGGACGAGGTCAGCTGGACGATATCATCAAAATGGCAGACGAGCTGGTGAAGAGCCAGCACAGTAAACAGAAAGAAATCCAATCCAGAAAGAGGAGTGTTTCCAAAAGGTGCAAAAAAAGTCCAAATCACTCAAATCAGCACAAGGACCCAGATACACAAACTAGATCCTGTGAAAAAGTGATGTCTCATTGTTGCTGTTATTAAAATGACAACAGTGAAGGACCCAGTAACAACGGTTTGCTATTATAGCAACATGCTATAATAAAGTGCCTGGGCTGTAGGTTGAGTACAGGACAGCATTTTGGACAGTTTTGGGGCGCCAGAAGCTCCTGATGACTGTGTGACAACTGTGTGATAGTTCTGGGTTCTTGGTGTGTTGCAGGTGGGATCGGATTCAGCAGCTGAAGGATGACAAAGGAAAGGAGCTGCTGAGTACGGCAGATGTGCAGTCCTTCCTGCATAGCTGCGAGGAGGCTAAAGCTCAGCTGCAGGGTGAGCTGTCCCAGCTTGACGAAGTGGACGTGGGCTGCACCCCCTTCACTCTGCTTGCTGAGGAGAAGAACCAGATTCGGGCCCTTAGAGACATCAAGATGCTTGAGGGGAAGATTGCTTACCTGAAGAGCGTTGCAAAGATGTATGGTCTGATATAGTCTGTGGGATTTTGAGGTGTTCTGCAGTTGTCTCAGTAGGCCTTAATTGAATCAAAAACACTTTAAAAGTAATTGATGGTTACAAATATGTTAAGCAACCAACCAATCAATCAATCAATCAATCAATCAAACAATCAATAATAATAATTTTAGAAATGTGTGTTGTAATTTGATAGAAATAAGTCATTGTTGTTTTGTATTTGATGTTCATAATGATTCATCAGTGATGTGATATATGTATATAAAGGAAATTAAAAGAGCCATAGACGTGACACTGAAGGTAGCTGCAGTTTTCCTGAGAATAGTTTTGTGAATTACTTTCACATGAATGGGCTCATGGATTGGCCTACACTGGTCTGTACCTTGGTACATGGGCTTTGATGTGTTCATGTGTTCACCGCTCTCCAAATATCTATTACAGATGATAATGGTATCTTAATTTACATTACGAATAACACAGAGCTGCATTAGTCTGAAAGGTTTCAAAGTTAAAACACTTTACATGAACTTCTAGCTAAAAGTGTTTTTTCTAAAGAAACTTCACGGTGGAGTACATCTCCATTCATCTCCACTCAATTTGCTCACATCCTGTGTTACAGGAAGCAGGACTGCAGTCCGGCAGAGAGTGCGGCCATTATGGAGGAGGTTCGAGGTTTGGAGGCTCTGCTGGATCAGGTGACATTTTCCTTCTTTGTTTTAGACTGACTGGAGTGTAGTAGCCAAGAGTGAAGGTGTTCAAACTTCAGTCTGTGTTCCTACAGAACATCTCTTTTGTGCTTGCAACATTTCGTGTTGATTTGCATTGACACTGACATACTCGACATCATTATTTTATTAATAAAAGTGAAGATCTCTTATTTTTTGTATGTACAAAGCAGGTGGTATAAGACTGAAAAGGTACAGCGTTTGGGTCATTATAATTAGGTTTGATATTCTGATGAACACAGACTCAGAGGCTGTTACTGTTTTATTATTGTTATATTATTATTAAATGTTTTGAGTAAAAAAATCTAAAATAAAACTACAAACTAAAAAAAAATACATTTTTGTACAGGTGAAATGTCAAGCATCAGACAGACAGCACCAACTGGAGGAGGCCCGCAGGCTGCAAAGTTTCCAGCAGGAGGCCAAGGAGCTAGAGCGCTGGGGGGGTTCAGTTCAGGAACGGCTCCTGCAGGAGGAGACAGCGAGCGATGTGGCCTCGGCTGTCACGCTGCTGGAGCAACACCAGGAGCTGCAACTAGAAATGGAGACACAGAGGAGCAGGTAAATAGCAGAAACTGTGCACAGCATTCAGTGCTTAGTGTGTTGTTGTTCCATTCATTGAATTGCATTCATTTAATTCTATTTAATTCGAAATAAATTAAATCTGCAGCATCAGTAAATTTAAATGCAAAGTGTTTTAGCAGTGGTTAATAGGAATTTAAAAAAATTATGATGAAAATTATTATGATTAAAAATTATGCTGGAGTTCCGGTGAATATGGTAGGCTAGAAGACGTGCTTTCACTGTGCTCCCGCTCCCACCTGTACTTATCACAGTGTAATGCGCACTACTGTCTATATTTTTACCTAAACTAGTGACTGAGAGCTTTGGGAATACTCAGCAGTCCTAAATACGCTTTTTGGAAGTTAAATAATGTCGAAGCAGACGAAGATACAATCTCGAAAGACCACGGCCGTCGTGATGAACAATGCTAGCCAAACTGACATGCTAGTAGCAATGGGCGACCAGCCCTCGCCCCCGGTGGACACCGCAACTCTCGTCCGTGAGGTGACCGATAGCATCAGTGAGGTAATTGACCAAAAACTGTCTGCACTGTCGGGGACACTGGAGAAAATCTCGTCCTCGCTGGAAAACGTCTCCAAACGCGTCACGGAGGCAGAGCAGAGAATCTCAGATATGGAAGATGGGGTGACTGACCTCGCGGGGAGGCTGGCTGAAGCGGAGGGGAGGATTAAGGTTATGGCAAAAGGTTTGGACGACTTAGAGAACCGCAGCAGGCGCGATAATATTCGCATCATTAACCTGAAAGAAGGTGCGGAGGGTGAGAGCCCTACTCAGTTTTTTGAGGCTTGGCTGCCTGACACACTCGGGCTGGGACACAGCTCCGCGGGTAAAGCCCGCATTAAAATTGACCGCGCACACCGGGGCCTCGGCCCGCGGGGTGCTCACCCCAGGCCGGTGATCATCAAGCTCCACAACTCCGGAGATAAACAGCGGATTATGGCTGCAGTGAAAGCGGCCCCCGAACTCCACCACGACGGGCAGCGGATCTTCATACATCAGGATTTCTCCTACGCGATCCGTGAGAAACGACGGGGATTTAATGCTTCTTGCCGTGCCTTAATCGACAAGGGCATCCGCTTTAGGATGCGCTATCCAGCGACGCTTGTGCTGACTTACAATGGCAATGAGCACAAGTTTGAATCGCCTAAAGATGCACAAAGTTTCATCAATGCGCTGGATTAATAGATGCTTGCCCCGTACAAACTGTGGCACTGCAGGACTTAACTGGGACCGTGTCATTGGACGCCTGAGTCCGCAGCGTTTAACGCAGTTTGAGGAGGCAGAGACGGTTTAACGGGGAAAATAGCCTAATTGTTTACTCAGTCTCTAATTTTGATTCACAACTGACAGTAACCCGATTCCATTCAGGTTTGGGGAGCGGGGGCGGGGTTTTGCTTTGTTTTTTTCTTTTTTCTTTTTCTTGTCTTCTCTCTCCTTCTCTCCCGTGGAGTGAAACTTCTTTTGGCTGCACTGGGCTTGTGACACCACCCGGTGGGTGGCATTTTCATTTTTGTTTGTTTCTTGTTTGTCTGTTTTTGGTCCGTGATACCTTGACGTTTATCTTGATTCTGTTATTGTATGCAATTTGTTGTGTGGGTGAAGGTTCCTTTGCCATCTTTTTGTGATGGTTTTGTTCATGTCAGCACGGCCGGTTCAGGCCATGGGTTAAGTCTTTCACATGTCTTTTATTATGATGACTCTTTCTGTTTGCCTTGGGTTGACGATTCTTGTCCAATGACAGATTACTTTTGCAATGAGTAACACTAAAATTATTACTCTTAATGTCAAGGGAATTAACCACGTCATTAAGAGGCGCAAGATAATTTCCTTACTCAAAAAAGATAGAGTGCAGATTGCATTACTGCAAGAGACTCACCTCACAGATTCCGAACACCTAAAACTCAAACGTGATTGGGTGGGACAAATTTATTATTCCTCCTTTAACTCTAAAAGTAGAGGCGTCGCAATATTGGTCCATAAAAATCTACCATTCACGCTACATACTATTGTAAGGGATACGGACGGACGATTTATTTTGATTACTGGGCTTCTATATGGGGAATTAATTCTATTGGGAAGTGTTTATGCACCAAATACTTTTGATAGATCGTTCTATTCAAATTTTCTGGCAAAAACCTCCCCTGTGTGTCGGAACCACGTAATAATTGGTGGGGATTTTAATTGTGGCTTGAATCCTGAAACTGATTATAATCCACCAAAATCTCAACCATCTTCAAAAATGGCAAAGGCTACAACGGACCTCTGCTCAGATCTTGGTCTCTTTGATGCTTGGAGAGTTTGTAATCCACATGTGAAGGACTTCACATTTTTCTCACGCCCCCATTTTTCCTTTTCCAGAATTGACTACATGTTTGTTTCTGGATCTGTCCTTGACAGAACCCGGGGCTGTTTGATCCGCACATGTGCGCTTTCGGACCACTCATCAGTTTCAATGGAGCTATCACCACCTTATTATGACCCTTCGTCTAGACATTGGCGGCTAAACCCAGCTCTCCTTAGTGACCCTAAATTTGTAAAGTATTTAGAAGATCAGTGGGAACTCTATCTTTCTACAAATGACTTACCGGGGGTTAGTGCTTCTACTCTATGGGAGGCGGGTAAGGCATTTCTCAGGGGCTCCGTTATCTCTTTTACCTCGGCAAAAAAGAAGAGCAGCTTAGCCAAACAATTAGTGCTTGAACGCGATATCACTGACTTGGAGAGGGAGTTTAAGAAATCCTCGTCTATTTCTGTGCTTCGGAAGTTGGATGCAGCTAGATCGGCCCTGGACCAACTGTTAACTCAGAAAGCGGAAACTGCAATATTCTATGCGAAGCATAGATTATTTGAATCAGGCAACAAACCTGGACGCTTGCTCGCCCGACTTGCCCAAGGGAAACGGGGCTCTTATGCAATACCCTCTCTAAAAGATGAGGCAGGTGTCTTACAGTTTGAGGCTAAACTTATCAGCAAAATAATGAAAGAGTTCTATCACGACTTATATTCCCCTGAGTGTCAAAATACTGTAGACGCCAGGAAACTGTTTCTTGACACTGTTAACCTCCCTATACTGTCAGAGGAAAGTCGATTGGATCTATGCAGCCCTATCAGGGTGCAGGAGGTCTTGGATGCAATTAAATCCTTACAGAGTGGGAAGGCTCCGGGCCCTGATGGGTTTGGGCCAGAGTTTTATAAAAAAATGGCCAAACATGTGGCGGGTCCTTTGTTGGGAATGTATACAGAATCTCTTGAGAGGGGCGTGCTTCCACCCACCCTAAACCTTGCCCATATATCCCTGATCTTAAAGAAGGATAAACCCGCGGATCTGTGTACATCCTACAGACCTATAAGTCTACTTAGTGTGGATTGTAAGATTCTGTCCAAAATTTTATCCAGACGTTTGGAGGAGGTTCTGCCGGTTCTGATAAAGCCTGACCAGACGGGATTCGTCAAGAATAGATACTCCCGCTCCAATGTCCACCGACTCATAAATGTTGCGCAGTTCTCTCAGAACACCAATTATAGGGCTCTTGCGATCTCTTTGGATGCTGAGAAAGCATTTGATCGGGTGGAGTGGGAGTATCTATTTGATGTTTTGGACAGGTTTGGTTTGGGATCTGAATTTGTCAAGTGGGTCAAACTGCTGTATGGGGCCCCAGCTGCAAGGGTCTTGGTTAATGGCTCGGTCTCGGATGTCTTCCCACTGGGTAGGGGAACGCGGCAAGGATGCCCCCTCTCTCCCCTGTTGTTTGCACTTGCTTTGGAGCCACTGGCAGAGGCTATAAGAACTGATCCTGAGATCTGTGGGGTGACCTTGTCGAATACTGAATACAGGATTTCCCTTTATGCAGATGACGTGCTGCTCTTTCTCACTAAGCCAGAAACTTCTATTCCTGCACTGACACATATCATCAACCAATTTGGCCTCTTCTCAGGGTATAAGATAAATTATGATAAATCTGAAGCTTTGCCACTGGGTGACGGGGGGAGGTGGGACGCTCCTCCTAATTTCCCTTTCAGGTGGTCGACCACAGGTTTCACATATTTAGGTATCAGGGTGCCCGCAGACACAGCGGAGTTGTACAAGTTGAACTTCAAGCCGATTGTGGCCTCAATCAAGAATGACCTCAATAGGTGGTTTGACCTCCCCCTGTCTTGGACGGGTAGAATAAGTTTAATCAAGATGAATGTGCTACCCAGAATATTATACCCCATTCAAATGTTGCCTCTCAGGATCAACAGAAAAACATTCATAGAGATTGAGGGATGTCTTTCTAAATTCATATGGCGTGGGAAGAAATCTAGACTAAAGATACAGATTTTACAACTGCCCACGGATGAGGGGGGTCAGGCACTGCCTAACTTTTTATATTACTACTGGGCTTGTCATGCACAAATAATCTCAGGGTGGTTACATTCCTTCCTTCACCGGGGCGAACCATCGGTAGATGCCTGGTGCTGTGACCCTCTCTCACCTCTTAGTCTCTTATCCACTGACCTGGCGGACCTCCCTCTTGGTGTCAGAACTAATTCCGTCTTGATGCCCACTTTAAAGGTTTGGCGTAATATTACTGCCCACGTCGGAAGAAGAGGTTTCTCTAGTGCACTGCAGCCTCTAACTAGGAATAAAGCTTTCCCCCCGGGTATTGGCATTAATATATTTGATGATTGGTATTCTAAAAGTATAAGATTTATTTGTGATCTGTTCGAAAGGGGTAGTTTTATGGCCTTTAATCAAGTTCAAGTTAAGTATAATTTACCACAGAAACACTTCTTTGGATTCCTGCAAGTAAGGCATTATGTGAACTCCCTTAAATTTCCAGCCAATCAACCAGTTTTGAACCCTGTTGAAAGCTTTCTTCTCAAAGTTAACGAGGAAATGACTACAAAAAAGAAATTTATTTCTCTTTGTTATGGGAAATTGTTGTCTTTGAACTTTATAACCACTGATAAGGCCAGGGTTCGGTGGGAAACCGACCTCGAAGCTCAGGTTGGTGCGGAAGCATGGTCCAAAACTTTCAGATCTGCCATGAAATTGTTTCCCTGTAACAGACTAAAGGAAAGCCAGTACAGAATCTTACATAGACTACAGCGTACGCCGGAGTTCCTAAATAAAATTCACCCTCAGATCTCTGCTCTTTGTGTGAAGTGCAATACGGCTGTAGGGACCTATTACCACTGCATATGGCAATGTCCTTTGATTACTAGATTTTGGAAGAATATTGCTATAGAGCTTTGCTCTATTTTCCACCGAACGATCCCACTGAACCCTATGCTGTTCGTTCTGGGTTTATCTATAGAAGGGCTCTCTCTGTCTTCTGTACAGATGCTTTTGTTAAGTAAACTTTTACATTTGGCGAGGCGATGTGTACTGTTTCAATGGATTCAGAGACGGCCCCCTACTGTTACACAGTGGTACAGAGAACTGCTCAGGGTGCTGCCGATGGAGCGCCTCAGTGCCATCATAAAGGGCAATTGTAATGCATTCTGTAGCATATGGCAGCCTCTGCTTGATCACCTACCTCATGACCTTACTGTGCTATTACATAAAGGGGACTCGCAGTTTGTTTTTAAACACACTGATTAATGTCTGTGTTTTCCCCCCCCTTTTTTTATTTTTTTATTTTTTTTATTTATTGTTTCCCTTGACTTCGAATGTGAAACGCTTTACATATTTTGTCCCAGGCGTGTGTACTGGTAACTCATATACCTGCATTTGCTTTGGTTTTTTTTTTTTTGTGCTTGGCTGTGCTGACTTGTTGCTGTTCGTGTTGTTCTGACAAAATCAATAAATCATCGTTTCAAAAAAAATTATGCTAAAGAATGTTCAAATCATTAATCCTGTGCACGTATTTTTTTTTAACTACCATAACGCTTGTCCATAATGAAAGCCATTTCTATCCCCTTCTGACAAAGGGATTGAGAAGATTGGCTCATGGACATCATCATTTAAGTGGACTGTGTCTCTCCCACTGTGTGTGTTTTTGCCAGGCTGAAGGAGATGGAGAACTTAGGGAAATCTCTGCTGCAGGGATCATCCAATGGGAAAATAGGCGGTGTTGACATCCAACAAATCCTTGATAATCTCAGTGCTGAAAGGAGTAGGCTGGAGACGCTGTGGGCTAGTAGAAAGAAGCATTTGGAGCAGGGTGTGGAGCTCCAGAGGCTGAACCAAGAGGGAGACCGGATTGAAGCAGCATTGTCTGGACATGAAGCCCGACTAAAAGTCCAAGATCTTGGGGTGAGGGTGCTCATTTCTCACCTTTTTACATGGTCCAGCTCCTTGAAATGTTACCCTTAAATTTGAATCCTAAATAAGTATTTATAGAAATCTGTGAAATTGCTATAAGTAAAGATTATAAATATGATGTTCTATCATAAAAATGTCAAAATAATGATTACATTTATTGATGCAGGACTCGGTAGACAGTGTGCACAGTCTACTGGGGCGACAAGATGAACTTGAAAGTCTTCTTATGGCTTTGGATCAAAGAGTGGATAAATTCGCTGAGCGCAGCAAGGAGCTTATCGACCAGCAGCACTTTGCTTCAATACAGTAAGAAAACACAGCAGAAATTGTTCCATAAAGTGGGCTGTCAACTCCATAATTTAATTCTTATGCTGTACTGGAGTAACTTTGCATATTTTGCTTTTAAAAATAATCCTTCTTTGTCTAATCTTAAACCTATTTATCATATACTGAGCCATGGCGTAGTCCCGACATTCATCCATGTAAACAAGCTGATTTAGTTCCCTTTATGCCAACTTTCTTCTCATGGACTGTTCCCAGCATACAGAAGGTTTTAACAGGGTGGGTGGGACTAAAGAAATAAGAGTAGAAGAAGTTAGGGATAAATAGAATTGGTTCTATGAATTGGGTACTATCACTCTGTTTGTAAATCGTTCTACAAGTAGAACACACATCACTGCAAAATTAGCATAATGCAAATCTAAGCTCATCTGCTTGCTACTTCAACCTAACAGGAAAGCTTTGATGCAGTATGCACACAGTTTGCAGAGCACCAAGGCTGTTTCTTTTCCATACGACATGAAACCGTGCCATCTAGCTGTCAAATAAATTACAACACCACATGTATACCATCTCTGCTACTTTGATTAAATGGCTTGTGAGGGGTCATGCCAATCATCTTCTCAGGCAGATGGCGGGGAACTGTTTATATTATTAGTTAAATTGTCCCTCTAACAACCAATATGTTCAAGTCAATAACCTTAAAATAAACTGCGTCACCAATCTTTAAAACCTCAATGTTTTTCTTACAGCATTAAGGAACGGAGCAGGAGCATCCAAAAAGCCAACAGGAGGCTGAAAGAGAGCTGCAGGAAGAGGAGGAACCTACTGCTGGACTCCAAGAAATACCAAGTACTATTGTCAAAATGCTAAAAACAAGAAAACATACTTTACTTTATGTTGTTTATTGTGTCGAGTACCTGCACTGATCATAATATCTACAGGAGAGCGCTCAGATGAATGTTATAAGTTCTTTAATAATAATTATAAGGGTGAATTTGCCTGGTGTTTCGTGTGGCAGGAGTTCCAAAGAGATGCGGATGAGCTGCTGTTGTGGATGGAGGAGAAGTTTAAGGTGGCAGAAGACGAGTCCTACCGAGACCCCACAAACATCCTCTGGAAGCTGAAGAAACATGAAGCGGCTGAGAAGGAGATGCAGGCCAACCAAGTCTGGTTGGATAGACTTGTTCAGGTAAAACACCTCTAACTTTTCACCCAGCATGATGACTTCTGTAGAGGAAACAACAAGTGTTTGACAGTGACTCTGGCAACACATGCACAGTTGCATATATTGAAAAGACGACTTGCACTTTGGTGAGATGTCACTTTCAGTACATATGTGTGTGTTTGTGATAAGCTGGGAGAGGAGATGATTGCTGAAGAGCACTACAACAGTCAGAGCATCAGCAGGAAGTCTTCTCAGCTCACGAGTCGGTGGAAAAGACTACAAGACAAGATGGCTGACAGGGGGGACAGGCTGAGACAGGCGGGGCAGCAGGAGCAGCTGATGGAGCTTTTGCAGGTAAACTACTGATGGAGAAACTGGATAAGACGTTTGTGTGGTCCAGTTCAGTGATGTTGGTGCCTTTTATGGCTTTTTGAGGAAATTACCAGACAAATAATGCTGTCTGTGTAGCCCATCCAAGAAGTTTGTACTTCAGTCTTGATTTGTGAGATTGTAGCATTTATTAATGCTAGGTAATCAGTTAATTAGCACTAATATATGTATGAATGCACTTTGCCAACCTAGCCTACCTGCATTAATTGATAACGTTACACCCCAGCCTCTTGTATGCCTCAAATATGCTCACCACTGGCTCCCAAAAAAGCAAGAAGAACACAGCTTAACTTTGAGACTTCACAAGCCTTTAGGTGACACTATAACTGACCCCTGTCTTTTATATACAGTTCATAGTTTCTGGCCAAATTTAAATTTACACTAATTTTAGAGGTCAACTGGAGTAAAAAATTAAAGACCATCCTTCCCAGGAGAAGTAATTGCTGTCCAAACAGAGCTCCATTCTCAGAAAAATCTTGTACTTTTCCTCCACAGGATGCCAAGCTGAAGATTGAGGCCATCCAGTGGATGCTAAACAATGCTGCCAAAGGTCACGACCTGCGCTCCAGTCGACAGTTGCTGAAGGTGAGGACAGGCCTGCATTGATTTAATGACGCTGGGTTTTACAGTTAGACATCAGTGAGTACTTTGTGTGTGTGTGCTCATGCAGGAGCATCAGCAGCTGGAGCAGGAGGCCAAGGAACTGGCAGAGAAGATCAACTCTATTGTGAGCAGGGCCAAACACCTCGCTTCCAACCACTTTGACTCTCAAAGGATCCTCCAGGAGACAGACGCCTATCTCACTTTGTAAGTTACTTTGAATCTTCAAACAAATAGATATTTGCATTTATTGCATTTAGAGTAACTTCAGTGCATATAAAACCAAGTGCATGGTGAAGAAAAGAAAGGAGTACAAACAAGATCAGGTCAGGGTGTCTCAGCTAAGAAAACGATCTGTTGAAGTAAAATGACAAAAGGCAAAATAACAACAAAAATAAAAGTGGATGACAAGGACGCTCACACGGAGACAAAATCTGAAAGACACAGATACATAGAATACAATTTCCTATGTCACTTCAGGTTTTATCTGTCATTGTCTCCTTTGGGGTATTTTATTCTGTGTGTAATTAAAAAGTAATAACATAAATATAGTCCAGTGCTCACTTTAGGTTATCATCATCTTGACTTTATAACCTCTGTGTGGCAGATTCAAGTCCCTGCAGAAACCTCTGGACGAGCGTCGAGCACAACTGGAGGCATCTGTGTCGTTGTTTGGATTTTATCATGATGTGGATCTTGAGCTCAACTGGATCTCTGAGCATGTTCCTGCCTCTGGATCTACAGGATATGACAAATCTCTGGCTGGGGCCCTCAGCCTCATGCAGAAACACAAGGCACGAGCTGGGTTGCAGTTCTTTATCTATAAAACCTCCCCTTTTCCTTCATTTGTTAACTGAGCTGAGAGCTCAGTTGGAATTACAATGGACTCAAGTGATTTGACACATTCACAGGGCTGTGTTTTACTTAACATTTGCTCATGTACTCGTGTGTTAACCCAGGAGCTGCAGGCCGAAGTGAATGCACATAGAAAACACCTGAACCACATTCTGAAGAAAGGGCGCAGCCTAGCCAAATCCAACAAGTCAGAAAGAGAGGCGGTGCTGCAGAGGTGTGGTTGTTTTTTTTTGTCATCAAAAAAAAGTTTCATGTGCATTGGTGCATTGTAGTGAATCTATCTTACGCTGACATTGCTTATAAAATGCATTAAAACTAGAAACCATCACAAAATAAGCATTTACTTAGACAAGGAAAATGGTATGTTAAAGAATAAGTTATAATATAATAAAATTGATAAAACATTATCAAACACATTACCTTAGTCCACCAAATAATGAGAACAAAATAGACACCATTGAATGATCTTGTCCAAATAGCTTGGTAATCACTCCTGTCTTTGAGGCCTAACACTGATGCAAAGATGGGATTGTTTTCAAAACCCAGCACACTGATCTGAAGGAATAAATTTAAATTTAATGACATTAAAACGACCAATTCCATGAGAGAAACTGGTCCTTTCTCTAAATGTAGGATTTTGGATTTTTAGACTGCAAAGATGCCATTGGCTCCAATGTATGCAAATGTTTCATAATTTTTGGGAGGGGTTATGTTATATAGCTGGGCACTTGACACAACTTTGAGAAGGTATTTGTCTGTACAGTTCAAGTGATCTGTAATAAGTACGGTTTCAGTTTGGACCAAATGTGTTCTGGCTTTGTGGAGCAGTGTAAATTTCTGCTGTTTTGCAGGTGCGACCACCTCAATACAGAGTGGGAGGAGCTTGAGGATGCCTGCAAAAAGAGAGCAGCTCACCTCAGCAAGGCTATTACCAGAGAACAGGTGAGATGGACAAGGATATTATATATTGGAGGGAAGTGAAAGTCTGATACTGACACTCCATCATCAAAATACTTTTAAGTAAGACACTTAGTTCTGCAGCTGTCTAACTGGTCATTTAGAGTTAAATTTTGAAGTATTTTATGCTAAACCCAACCAAAACAAAACATAAACTGCTACATTTTCTGTGTGTGCCTCATCTCTAGCTGCTGTTGGACTGCTCAGAGCTGGAGTCCAGACTCGCAGAGATGCTCAGTCTGGTGAACATCGACGACTATGGCAAAAACCAGCTGGCCACACAAAGCCTCATTACTAAACACCAGGTATATCACACACTCTCACTGTGTACACTTTGCTTAGTCGGAAAAGGACCTCATATGATTCCCCTATCGATTCCTGACGAAGAAATCAAAGAACAGCGTGCAGATTGTACAACAACAGAATCAGTAAACAGTGTCCTTGTGTTCGTGCAGGTGCTGGAAGGACAACTGGAGGTGTTGGAAGCTGAAGTAGAGGCATTAGGAGACCAGGTAGAGCAGGCCATTCAGAACTGGAGCCTGGAGGAGCTCAGCAGACCCTACAGTCGAATCAGCAGCCTGAACCAGCAGCTGCAGCACCAGGCTGGACTCAGGTGAGCACACACTCATATTGTTGGATTACTTTCTCTGCTTTTCTCTCACAGATTGTTTTTTGAGTCTCTCTCTTTCGTGATATTTTTCCTAATATATTTTCCTTTGTTTATCTATTTACTGTGTTTTTTTCTTCTTTTTTTTTCCTTTTTTTGTTTGGAAAAAGTGCAATATTTACATAAGGCAGTTGTTAATTACAAAAAATGTAGAAAGAACATACGTATGTGACAGAGAGAAAGACTTATACAGTAAAGTGCTGATCTTTAATATCTTGACCTGCTTCTAGGTGATTTATATCATTTTTCTCCAAACAAAATGATATTAGTTCAGATGATCTGTCTCTGACTTAGCGGTTTTATTGTTGGATTTTTTATTGTGTCTGTGTACTTGTGTGACTGACCACCCTAATGTCTCCTGTTAGGGGTCAGAAGCTGAAGGAGGTCCTTCAGCTCCATGAATTCAGGCGAGAGTCTTCAGAGCTGGAGGACTGGATGAACCAGCAGAGACAAACAGCTGAGTCTCAGGACCTGGGCAATGATTATCAGCATGTTCAGGTTACATTTCATTGCACAATGATTGTAAATATTAATTCTAGTGTGTTTTTGGAGGCTGAAGGTAGCTGTAGAGTTGTGTGTCTGTGGATTATGCTTGCAGTTGGTTCGAGGGAAGTTTGAAGGCTTCCTGAAGAAGCTGGAGGTTGGCGAGGAGAGACTACAGAACTGCAGAAACCTGGCTGTTCAGCTGATCCACAACAAACACCCACAGAGCTCTGCAATCAAAGACACTCTGCAGCAGCTTAGGTAATCACACAGCCACAGTAGTGAGTCAGTTATTTTATCTGTGAGGCATCCTATTCCTTTTCTTGTTTGTCTTAAATGCTGAAATTGTTGGTTTTGCGTTTCAGTAAGCAGTTTTTATCTGTGTCCGTCCATCCATTCATCTTCTTCCGCTTATCTGGGGTTGTCCCCAGTATCTCTCTGAATGCTGTTGAAGCTCTGCCGGAGGTGTGAGTTGAAGATCTCGTGGACTGGGGCCTAAGGCGTTCTCAGCAGACCCTCACTATATATTTAGGTGCGCCAGGTCTGTCCATAATCCTCCCCCGCCACCTGATCCAACTCACCACCAGTTGGTGGTCAGTTGACAGCTCAGCCCCTCTCTTGTGTCCAGAAAATATGACTGCAGGTCTGATGATACGTTTACAAAATCAATCACTGACCTTGGCCAGGGCCCAAGCTGTGTGTTGGGATGAGCCCGACTATATCTAGCTGGTATCTCACACATAACTCAGGCTCCTTCCCCACCAGAGAGGTGACATGCCATGTCCCAATCGCTAGTCTCGGTAGACTGGGATCGGTCCACCAGGGCCTCTGCTCCTGGCCGCCACCCAACACACATTTGCACCCGACCCTACGGTGCCTCTGGCGGGTGGTGGGCCCATATCCCTTTTTCCTGGCCAGGCCAGGGCTAAGACACTTGCCCTCGGGCACCCTGCCCTTGTCTGGTTCTAAGGCGGGGCCCTGGTAACCCTATCCCGGGAAGGGTGAACTGTTCCCTCGATCTTCCACTCATAGGGGTCCTTTGAATCGCTCTTTGTCCACCTTATGTTAGTTTTGATATTTATGTTTCTGCAGTGCATCCTGGGAAGATTTGAAAAGCTTGGCCAAGGAGCGTCAGGATCAGCTACAGAAAGCTGAGGAATGTCACCGCTTTTACCAAGACCTGAGTGATGCGCTAACTCTCATCCAGGTAGCTATGTTCATGTAGAAACTGCTGTCTGACTCCTAGACATGTCAGCTGGGTTTAGATCTAATTACTTTGAAGACATCAGATCCCATGAATGGATTATGGCATTGAAATATGGAAATATAAAATGGAAGATGGAAGACAGCACACCCATCAGAAGCACGCTCATTCAGTTCAGTTCAGTTCAGAAGAATGAAGAACTGTTAATAAGAGGAAGGGGACTGGCTGTCCTCCCCTAAATTATTATAGAAAATAAGACATTCTGATTTGGTTTTAGGATTATCTGTGAAAGATGGGAGATAAAGTGTACATCTATAGATGGAACCAAAGAAGGAAAACACTGCAGTGCTAAACTTTGAGATATCATTCAGATCACACAAATATAAAGCGTTTAGCTTGTTTGGCACGAACCTAACCAGCCCCGCCTCAGTAAACCACAATGAGAACAGGCCAAGAAACATGGAGGTGGGAGGGAGCTGACAGCTGGAGCTGTAAAAGTTTGAAAGGTGCAAAAGAGATTGCATTTATAGAAACGCTATGGTGTACAAAAACTAAACCCCATCCAGCAACATAGACACAGCTGTAAAGAATTTCACTTCATCTATTTGTCATTGTATCTGAAGTACAAAGAACAGAAGGAAGATTAAAAGTCCAGATCATAGACTATACATGAAATGTGAGCATCAAGTAAGTCTGGTTATCAATCTACATCAATAAATGGTATGGTTGCAACACAAGGATAGACATACAGTGTCTGTTGATTATTAGTAGCTAACAGACTAAAAACCACTCGACACAGCTGAATCCTATTTCACAGTTACACTACACATCTGTCATTTTCTACTTTATGGGATAATGTTTTTTTTTATCGATTATGTTATTGATGGTCCCCTGTGCAACACTTAAAACTTCTGTTCCTGTCTCTCTCTGTAGGAGCGACACAAAAGCATCCCTGACGATGTGGCAAAGGATTTGCATGGAGTGACGTCACAGCTGAGGAAACATGAGGCCCTGCTCCTTGAGCTTGCCACCACAGAGGAACAGGTGATAAAGTGCTAAATTTGTTGACCAAGGACATCATATAGTTAAGAAAAGATGTTTAACATCTGATTCAGCTTAAATGAAAAGATCACCATGGAAACAGTCTCTTATGGGTTGTTAACAGGCTAGGGAGCATTTCTAAAGTGGTTTACAGTCAGTCTAACCTACAGAATGTATTTTTCTGCCCAGTGATACATAAAATCACTCTGAAGGGCGGCATTTCTGACATCATTACTATAGAAATGTAGCAGAAGGAAAATCTGTTCAATACTCACTGATGATGAGCTCAATAAGACAGAGTGGAAGATGCTGTCTGACAAAATGACAAAGTGCCATTGGCTGGAATGAGACATCTTAATGTATCTTATCTCTTTCATTTCTATAGTTTCAAGAGCAGCTGGACTCTGTTGACTCTGTCCTGGAGCTTTGCACGCCCGAACTGAGTGTTCGCCTACAGAAAGTGCAGGACGAGGTGGTGGAACGGTGGGAGGAGCTGCGACTTCTTGCTGAGAAGAGAGAAGAGGAGCTCAAGCGGGCTTCCCAGCGATATCAATTCCTTAGCATGGTGAGGACAGATAGATACAGGATGCAGGTCTGAAAGTCTAAAGTAGTACTTCCTTGAGTTGTTCAGTAGATGTTTTGCATCTTTTTGTGGAGGTTTTTCAAGTGTATTTAGGTATAAGGGGAATTTTATCCATTTGGATTTTGTCCCCAACAATGAGCTTACTTCTGTCATCTTCCCCACTCTTCTTCTTCAGGTGCAAGACTACTTCCTGTGGTGCAGCCAGCTGATCAGTGCAATGGCAGTTGAGGAAAGCATCAGTGATGTGGCTACCGCTGACCTCCAGCTGGCTCAACATCAGCAGTTATGGGCTGAGATGGAGGCAAGACAGGAGACCTACCAGCAAGCTCTGGACATGGGAGAAGAGCTGCAGACACAGGACAAAAGCAATCAGAAGGAGGTAAGGAGGAGAAGTAAGATTTTGGAGACTCTGGGGATAGCTATATGGCACTTTTCTCATTTTATGGAATACAAACAGAAAATAAAAGAAAGAAAAGTCTGCAAGACCAGAAAGCAGATTAAAAAATACAGCTGCAAAATACAGAAAATCACAACTTCATTGTACCCTTCAAGCACTGTCCAAAACACATTGTGTGCATGAAAGGATTTAGGATGCTGAAGCAAACTCATCTCTGGAGATCAGCTTGGCTTTAATCATTAAGCTCATCTGTTGTGGCCTAGAGTCATATTCTGATTGATTTCAGAAATAATCATAAAGTTACGGTTACCATTTACCTATTAATGAAGTCCATGTTTGATAAGTATAGAAAGAGTTTGTTATCCCAGGGTGAGGAGGGGGTTCGGGTCCTGGGATAACAAGGGATAACAGCTCTTTAAAAAAGAGCTTAACCTTAAGATGAGATGAATCTGAATTTTTTTCCCCACTGTTGTAAGGTAGACATTGACACAGTCTAGTCAGAGAAATTAGACTTTTTGTTGGGTGATGATTCTCTTAGGTGTTGGAGAAGATGGACGCTCTCCAGTCAGAGAGAGAAAAACTGGAGGAGAACTGGAAGAAGAAACAGAGCTGGTTAGAAACTGTTCACCTGGAGCAGATCTTCTACAGAGACGTCAACAGCATGGAGAAGATGTCCAACTCACAGGAGGTACACCTGCTGTATTTGTTCAAGAAAAAAACCCTGCAAAATAATGATACCATTGATGGTGAAAACTTCTGTCATGTCTCCACAGATCCTGCTGAAGAACAGCACTCTGGGAAATACTGTGGATGAGACAGAAGGTTTGATCAAACGCCATGAAGCTTTTGAGAAGCTGCTCAGCTCGCAGGAGGACAAGGTCTGTACTCCTTCTGAGGGTTGGTCCTTTCCCCTACAGTTAAAACAAAATGCACAGCTTCTTTAAAGTCAATTGGAAAAACTAAACCATTTAGTGACATGCTGAGGTAGAGTGAATGATAATACTCTACATTTTATAGTAATTACCACTTTCTACCTTGGTTGAGCCCCTGCTCATTTAAATCTACACTTCCCGCTCTCTGTTCCAGCTGTCATCTCTGAAGGAGTTGGCTGAACGTCTGAGGAAACAGCTGAGCAAAAAGAAGAGCGGACAAGTCAAAACCAGACTTAAAGCTCTCCTCCAGAGACGAGAGAAAATTAAAGAGCTTTCTGCCAAACGTGGGGAAGAGCTGGAGCTTTCCAGGCGTCTGTGCATTTTCAACCGAGATGTCGCAGAGGTAACTTGCTAACCAGTCAGAACACTGGGCAATGTTTGGTAGCTGGATCCCCAAATATCTTTAAGGTTTTTACAGTGTTAAAAAATAAGGTGTGATTGACGATAACTGACAAATAAAAAAACTCAGGTCTGATTTCCAGTTCAATTCTCTGTTTATAACACTGTTTAACCGTCCATCTACTTCTGTTTCTGTGCGTCAGGCAGAGGAGTGGGTGTCTGAGCGGATGCAGAAGATGGCAGAGGACAGTAAAGCTGACCTCAGCAACCTGCAAACCAAGATGAAACTCCTGCAGAAACATCAGGTGTTTGAGGCTGAAATCCTGTCTCACCATGAGATCATCAGTAATGTACTTTTGGTAAGAACAGCTCGAGGGCCAGCAGTAGGGCAAATTAATATGAAACCACAATAACAGAAAAGATTCAGCGGGAGTGAAAAGATCTGGGAGTGATCTACTAAAAACGTGCAAACATATGAGCAGATTTCATTTCAGTAATAACTAACATGAACAGACCTGCTGAAGGTGTAAGTAATCTGCCAAAAGAATAGCTTTGTGAACACAAACCCCCCCCCAAAACAAAACAAAACAAAACAAAAAAACAACAACACAAGAGCTGGTCATGTTGCACAGTTCTGTGTGTGCACATTGCTGAATAAAGACACAATTAATATTGCCATGTAGCTAATAGTAAATCTGACTCCAAGTGGAAAAAAGTGGAAAACATGTATAGCAGTAATGCCACTTAACTTTAGGTTTAGGATTGTTTGACGTGATTGGACACAAAGAGGTGAGATGATAAGATGAAATGTTAATATGGATCTTTTTTTTAATTTACCTTTCAGAATTACCACTTACAGACATGATTTAGTGAACCTGTCAGTGTTGGTTAGATTGCGTCTTCAGCTTTGTGCCTTTGTGTCAAATATCTACATGCAGCCTGCTTTGTTCTTTGCTTCTAGGCTGGGGAAGAACTTGTATCTCTTCACCTGAGGTCCAAAGAGGTAAAGAAGAGTGCAGCCACACTCGAGCTTCACTGGGAAGAGCTGAAGAAGGCTGTGGCCATCCGTGGCAAAGCTCTGGAAGATAACAGAGCCTTCCTGGAGTACCTCCAGAAGGTGGAGGAGGTGGAGGCCTGGATCAGACAAAAGGTAGAGCACAGATAAATGGATGGAAGTGCATTGCTGTTAACATGGGGACATTTGTTACTTTACGTCTGTGACTCTGTGTTTCAGGAGGTTATGATTAATGTTGGAGATGTTGGAAAGGACTATGAACATGGAGTCCAGCTGCTGAAGAAGCTCAGTGAGTTCAGGGGAAGTGAAGATAAGGTAAGTAAACTTATGTTGTTCCAACGTGAGCTGCGAGAAACTACAGCTATGCTAGGCTGCAATGATAGTTACACAAGACACAGAGCTCAGTGTTTGATGACTCAACCTTTTGATGGCAATAGTGAAGTCGGACAGGGCCTCTATATACCACAAACAGGGAGAAGATGAAGAACACTGCTTTTAAATGCTTTGCTCTCTAGTGTTCTCCTCAAACAGGATACGAAGAGCTTAACATGACTAACATTACTGATATTATAGAAGGAATAGCTCAAACTGACCACAAGCCACACTGTTTTAATATGTCTGAAAAGTGACAGCCAAATCTGTAATCTGCAGGACGTGACAGTGGATGATGCTCATATCAAAGCCATCAACAAACTGGCAGCCAAACTAGAAAAAAGACAGAGTGCTGAGGAACTGGTGACTGTGACAAAGAGGAGGCAGCAGCTCAATGAAAGGTAACGTGTCTGAAGATCTTCCACTCGCTTCCACTCATGTGTTTTTTTCCCACTCATCCAGATCAGGGTCACAGTGGGGCTGGAGCTAATTCCAGCTGCTCCACAAGAGGAAGGGCATATCCTGGACAGGTCACAAGTCTGTCACAGTCACAGGCTAACACAAGTGCCTACATGGGTACCCATGCAATTATAGGGAGAACATTCACAGAAGGCCCCAGCTGACTGGTGGATTTCAACCCAGAACTTTCTTGCTGTGAGGCAACAGTGTTGACCAGCGCACAAACAAAATAATGCATCAAAGTGGTTCTTCTCCTCCAGGTGGAGCAAATTTCACGTTGATCTGAATAATTACAAGAACCAGCTCGAAGAAGCTCTGGTGGTCCACAGTCTCATCAGAGAACTGGAGGAGGTCAGAGACAGAGCTAATGAAAAGGTCAGGCAACTGTTTTTTTAACCTTGATGCTGCACTTCTAAAACACAAAATTATTACACTGTAAAAAATTGCACACTGTGAAAAATGTCAGCAAAAACAGAATGCAGTGATTTGAAAATCTCAAACTCATACAGTATTCACAAAGGAACATGAAAACAACATTCATCTAAAACTCCAGCAAATGGTCTCCTCAGCTGCCAGATGGACTGTAGTTAAAAGAAGTCAGGATGCTGCACAGTGGTAAACATTGCAATGTTCTAACTGTGTTGAAATGCTGGACCTGAGCTGATGTACTCACCTTTAATCCTGTCCGTCCTTCGTCACTCCCAGTCAGAATCTTAACATCTTTTCTATTTTTTATTGTGAATAAAATATGGGCTAATGAGATTTGCCAGTCATTGCATTCTGTTTTATTTACATTTGACCCAGCATTGCAACTTTTTTGGAACTTGGTTGGTATTTTGAAAAGGTTCCTCCTCGCTCTCTTTAGATGCTGCTGCTGCAGGATCAGGATTGTGGCTGCGATGTGGACAGTGTAGAAAACCTGATTAGACGCCACGAGGAAATAGAGAGAGAGGCTGGAGTTATCCAAGATAGAGCAAAGGTGAGGCACCCAAGGCTGCAACTGACACGTTCATTCTTGACTTTAGGAATTGTAACTGGAAAGCTTGCATGTAAGCTTGGTACCTGTTCACAAAGATGGTCACAAGTAGATGTTAAATAGATTAAAAACAAGACAAAAAAGCAAACCTTGACAGATGGAAACAAAAATCAGATGAATCTAATCTTGTCTAATCTTTCATCAAAAAACTAAATGCAGTTTTATAAGTCCAGCTCATTTGCCAAATTACCACCTCTATGACTAAAATGACTGACTTACTTCTGTCTCATCAGTCTCTGGAAGAAGGCTTGTTGGGTGATGTGAGTGCTCAGTCAGTGATGAGCGACAAGCTGAAGACCAAACAGAAAGAAGTCCAGAAGACTCTGAAAACTTTGGACAAGGAACTCAAACACAGGTAACTTTAATCTACTATTAGAAGCAACAGTGATTTCAATTATTTTAATTGCTGAAAGTTTTCAAAGGTCAGAGCATCTAGTAATTAACAGTGAAATAACTATGTAGGCACCAATGAAGTTTGCCAATGTTTTCTTTGCCATCTCTATACCTTGTCTAAAACCAAGCAGTCTGGCAAATTCCTTGAATTCCTCGCAGGATTGTCACTCACCACTTTATCTAGGCTACCGAGCAGCTTTTGAATTATCTGTGTGATTGTTGTTGATGGAAAGTGTGGTATTTCCAAAACCACGGAGTAGCAATCTGTGATTATCAGGTTGTGTTGGTGCTTACCCTCACATTGATCCATAGCAACTTTTTCCAGGGTTGTTCTGGGAGCAGCTTGGATATTGAGTTTAGTTTAGTTAGTTTAGATATGAGAGGTTCTTTTGGTTGACTTTTCAATTCATAGCACACAGGTAGAGCACCGTCTTTACCTGTGCTCGTCTTTCGGTGCAGCTCTGTGTAGGCAGCTGTTGTTTTATCGTTTCATCCATTTTGCTGGTGGGTGCAGGAATCCCGTCCAACACTAGCCACACAGCATGCCACATCGCACTGAGTGTTAGCCAGAGGGCTAGGTGACAGGTTGTGATAAGCGTTTTCACTTTAGCATACTCCTATACTGGATTCTCATGTCTAAAATCATGGGAACATGTTGGGACTGTAGTTGCACACTGTTCCAGGTGTGGTATGTAATGAGAGGTACTGGACTAGCTGAAGCTCGGTCTGTCTAAACTAGCTAGGCCATCGAGGTATCCCTCAAACTTTCTACAAGCCCACACACCTGCTAAAGGCTTTTTTTCCCTCTCACTAAGCATGCAACATGTTAACCACTGGACTTTTAGAGGCCCAACAGTGTTTTACATTAGTAAAAATCAAAAATACGGATAGTGATCAGAAGAACTCCCTCAGGAAAAACTCAAGAAGAAATGGTCTTTTTCAGAAAAGAAAAGCTGCAGGAGGCTCACCAGTTGCAGCTTTTCAAGGCTAACCAGCGCCTCCTGCTGGAGTGGAGTCTCAAACAAAGCAGTGAGATGGCAGAAAAGGGACTTCCCAAGACCAGAACAGAGGCTGACCGGCTCATTGTGGAGCATCAGGACTGGAGGGTGAGCACTGTGGCTTACTTAAACTTTACTACCTTAATGAAGTAAATGCCAATTTTAAACGTTGCTGTTTTTAGACGGAGATTGACGCTCGTGCTGAACGCATCGACTCTGTCAGGGACTTTGGTCTGGGTCTCATCCGGTCTGGTCACAGCTCTAAGTCAGAGATCCAAAAGGCTTTGAACCAGCTAGAGGAAGCTAAAGCTGGACTGGACCGAGCCTGGTTGAACCGTAACATAACCTTGGAGCAGGCCCGTACACTACAGGTGACACAGCAGCGGCCCCCAAAATAATTTAATATGACTTTTTGATGTGAATAATGAATTAATATAGTCTCATTCATATTTATAAGTATATTTGCAAAATTAATTTGCTGAATAAATCTCAGATTTAATTAAAATAAATATATTTCATGTATTGTAAGTTAACCTGGTCCTCTTAGCATTACACTGAATAATCCTTAATATAATTGACGAGATCAGACAAGATCGGGCGTTCTCAGGGTGGTATGGCTGTTCTGTGACTGCAGCTCAGGCGGTAGGGCAGGTCATCTACTGATCCTCCTTCAGTCTGCATGCCAAGTATCCTTGGGCAAGATACTAACCCCAGATTGCTCTCCCCGATGCTACATTTGCTATGAATGGTAGTTAGGAAGCACTAAGAACCTTAGCAGACAGTGCTTGTGTGATTGGATGAATGTGGCATGTTGTGTAGAGTGCTTTGAGTACTCTGGGAGAGTAGAAAAGTGCTATATAAGAATCAGTCCATTTACCACAATTGACACATATGATTGAGCTACTTTACATAACTGAAAAGTTTCAGCTACCTTAGCAAGGTGGATTTTGTGTCTTCTTGTAGTTAGACATAAGACAACTATGAGACACAGCTTTAGCAGTCAGATTAGCTTTTGCTGAGCTCTTCTCTGTATCCTTCAGATCTTCCTGACCTCTGTAGAACAATGTGAGAGCTGGCTCAACAACAGTGAAGCCTTCCTGTCTAATCAGGACCTCGGGGTACGGATGATTTGCTTCAGAATCATACATATATAGGAAAGTACTCTTATGCTGTGAAAGCAACCTATTCTTTTTGCAGAGCTCAGTGACAGAGGTAGAAACACTGCAGAGGAAGCAGATTCAGTTTGAGGAAGCCCTGGAGGCTCAGGGAGACCAGCTGGACCAGGTAGAGAAGCTGGCCCAGGAGATGATCCAACAAAAGCACTATGATGCCAACAACATCAGAGCAAAGAGCAAAGCACTGACCACCAGGTAGTCATCAGACATCTCAGCCACACACTTTCCAATTAAAGCAAGTACTGTAGCTGGAAATAATGTTTTGACTCCTGCTTGCTCACCTGCTGTGTTTGCGCAGGCGGAGTCAGTTGCAGCGGCAGAGTAGATCTCGTTACAAAGCTCTGGATCAATCCCTCCAGCTGCAGCAGTTCTTGTCCAGCAGCTACCAGGTAACTTTCTGAACTCTGCTGAAGCCTAATTTGTATTGTTCTTCAGGGGTCTATAGCAAATTTGTGTTTTCCAGGTATGTGTGTGGCTGAATGAGCGTAACGCCATAGCACTGGATGAAAACTGGAGGGAACCAAACAACCTTCAGGCAAAGCTGTTAAAACATCAGAGCTTTGAAGCAGAGATCCTCGGCAACCGCTACAGGGTGGAAACCCTCACTAAGGTGGATTTTCTTAAGTGTCTGTGTATTTCCCTGATTACAGCTCTAGCTGCAAGATGTCTTGGGCTGGACAGTTAACGGTTTATTCCTGAGAAGTGTCAAAAAGATTATCCCATCAGAACTTTTGTCCTATTTAGACCTTCTCTTAGATTTTGCTAACATTTCAGACTTTATTGTTTGTTTACACCATTGGGAATATAAAATGTTGCCTATTGGGTGCTTTCCAGGAAGGAGAGAAGCTGCTGTCTGAGTCTCTGTCTGCTGAAGGAAAGGTTCGACCTCGACTCAGAGAGCTGACTGACAGCTGGGATACTCTGATCCACAACGGCAAGGAGAAGAAAACTAGACTGCAGGAGGCCTACCAGGTACTTGCCCAGTCATGTTTAATGTTGCCCTTAAAACTATAACTTAATTTCAACTTAAACCTACTCAACTTTAATCCTTAACTAAATCTTCATAGAAAACATTAAAGATTTCTTTCATGCTCATTGCCCTGGAATTGTAGGGAGGCACATAAAGTTCTCTGAATGCCCTTTGTGTGTTTAGGCATTGCAGTTCCAGCGTTCATTGGATGACATGGAGCAGTTCGTGGCGTCAGTGGAGAGGGAGCTGGCCAATGAGGACTGTGGCAGTGACCTACCCTCTGTGAACAGACTGCTGAAGGAACTGCAGGGGGTGGAAGAGGAGATGGATGGACACCAAGACCGAATCCAGGTGCAAGCGCGAGGGTGGACATAATGCTTAGTTGTTTTAAATCCTCATAATTTTGAGTTTTTAGTTTGATTTTTTTTCATTACTAATTATATCTAAGCTACATACTAGATTACTTCTATAATGATATTATAGCCGTCATGGTCCTGGGTCTTTGTCCCAGGGTTTATGCTATGGATTGTGTGAATCGGGTTAAAATGATATTCTAAGTTAGGCTAGATTCTCTGATTGTTTCATGTTCGGTTTTCTTGTAATTCTGAGTTCTCATTCGATCATTTAGTTTCTGTTTAGTTTCTAGCTCTTAGTAAGTAAGCAAGTACAATTTTATTTATATACCACCTTTCAAGACAAAGATCACAAAGTGCTTCACAAAGAAATACCAAGGCATTTAAAAGAAAAAACAGACGAAAAGGTTCTTAGTGATCATAGTTTTCCCTGCCTCTGAGTCTAATCTTCTCCTGTCAGTCAGTCTTGTCTCTGTGTTTATTCCTGTCTCCCCAATTGCTGCGTCTTGAGTTTCTGTCTGTGGGTTTCCCGTGTCCTGTGTCTAGTATATTCATTTTTGCTTCCTCCCTGTCCCATTATGCCAGTTAGCTTCCAGCTATGTTTCCCATCCCTTGTGTATTTAGTCCCCTGTTGTCCTCTGCCTGTTGTCGCGTCATTCCACATTGCTGCGTGTCTCTCCCATGGTCCTCGTTTCTCCTAGTGGTTCTAGTCAGCTCCGATTCCTAGTTTCTCTGTTCCTAGTTTTCTAGCTTCATAGTTCTTTGTTTCCAGTTTTAAGTTATGTTTACATATATCCCGTGTCTCAGTGTTTACAGCAAAATAAAGCTGCCTCTTTTAGTTCATCACCTTTGTGGCAGCTCCTGCCTGCCACACAGCACACTCATGACAATTGCCCACCCTACTTCACAACAAACATTAATGTGAAATTTATTTTAAAAACCCCACCATATTGTTAACATCAGCTAAATGTTAGTGGAGACACATTATTCATGTTAATGACTATATGTTTAACTCAGTTTTAAGTCTAAAGGGAAAAATAACCTTACTTATACTTCTTTGGTTTCCAAACTGCCATGCCACACTAGAGTTGCCTGCCACCATCATGGAAAAAGAGCATTGTAGATTCACTAAAGTGTGACAAATGTCGGCTTGCTTTGTAAATCCACTGCATATATGAAGTATATGTAAATGTATATATTTTATATATCAGGGTCTGGTGGACACAGCAAAGAGCTTCCACTCTCAGGGTAACTTCCTGGCTGAGGAGATTCAGACCAGAGTGGCACACACCATCAACAGGTTTGTAAACAGCAGATCATTTGCACTGTGAAGAAATCTGGTTGTATACATAATGTAGCCGACTTCCTCATGTCTCTTTATAACCTTGGAAGAGGTTGATGCTCTTCCAAGGGTATAACAACTGTTATAAAAATTAAAATATCACTAAATGAGAAAAAAATGTTTGAAATGTATTTCACCGGTGTTGGTCTTTACTCTGACAGGTACAACAGTCTGGCGCAGCCCCTGCAGAGACGTAAGGAGAACTTGGAGGCCTGGCAAGTCCTGTTCCAGTTCTACAGAAATGTGGAGGAGGAAACGGCCTGGCTGAATGACAGACTGCCCTCCATCACTGCCAAAGACTTGGGCAGCTCCCTCAGCAGTAGCCAGCAGCTGCTCCACAAGCACCAGGTGACCACTTGCAGAGTTTACTGACAGTGAGGAAGGAAGAAAACATATCTAAATTAATTAATATTCACATTATTACAGACATCATAATTTTAATAAGACATTTATAACCTCCTGGACTTTATTTGTAGCTCCAAATTGCAATTGTTTTTATAGTTAAGGACATCTTTGATTACTTGTTTAGTGGTCTGGTCATAGGTTATTAAATAGCATCTATGGTTCAAATTGTTCCAGGTTTTGGGTTACTTTTGTTGTGTTTATTGAAAAAAATAATTTGCAAATCATTTTTTAAAGACCTTGATGCAGGAGATCTCTGGACGCATGCCATTGGTCCAAGCAGTTCAGGAGGCGGGGCATAGTCTGGTAAGGATCTCTTTGATTTCGGCATTGTTATAGCTGGAATGTTTAAGAAATGATCCGGGAACCTTATGTGTTCTTCTCTCAGGTCAGGGGCCGACACTTTGCATCTCACGATATCCGGGAGCGTCTGGAGGACTTAAAGAGTCTGCATGAGAAGCTGACGGTAGAGGGTGAGAAGAAAGTGAAACTACTGCAGGAGGCAGTCAGCATACATGCCTTCCTCACAGAGGTAACAGACACATGACATAAAACTGAGATTTAACGTATAAAGGTCCCCCTTTTTAGATATATTATAAAATATCTGAAAAATAAGTTTTGTTTCAAGTATCATAAACCACAGACTGTAATCACTCACATCCTCAGACCATGCCGCAATGTTACCGACTGTGACTCCATCAACATGATATGCTGCTCTTGTTCAAAAAATAAAAGTGGCGCCTTCGCCTCAAGGCGCTTTATATTGCAAGGTAGACCCTATAATTTTACATACAAACAAAAACCCAACAATCATATGACCCCCTATGAGCAAACATAACTCCCTTTTAACAGGAAGAAACCTCCGGCAGAACTAGGCTCAGGGAGGGGTCGCGGTCATCAGCCGTGACCGGTTAAATCCTGAATTGATATTTAAATAGAAATGTATTTTGCCAGAAATACCTTTAATAATATATTTCTGACTGTCTGAATCAAAATTGAATTGAATCAGAACCTCGTGGATGAAAATCAAATCCATTTTAGAAATCTGTGACAATACCCAGTCCTATGTATAACCGCTCATTACTAGCAACACTGTAGCTGACTGTATATAAAAGATTTAAGTCATACAATTGTACAAATTACCCTCTGAGCAGGTCACTATCACAGGAAGAGACAGAACACCATGTACTCTCACGGTCAATTTAGAATCAACAACTAATCTAACAAGCCTTTTTTGGACAGTTGGACTGGTTTAAGACATTATTTTATGTTATGTATATAATCACAACAAAAAAAACTGTAAAAGAAAAAAAAAAAACTTTACCTGTTATGTGCCTATTTTTGTGTGTTTGAAGGTTTCAGAGCTCCAACTGTGGTTAGAGGAGCAGCAGGTGGGTTTAGAGTCTCGAGACTGCGGGAGGAGTGAGGAGGTGACGGAAGCTATGCTGAGGAAATTGGACTCTGTGGCTGTAGAACTGGACAACCAGAGGAGGACAGTGGAGAAGCTGCAGGAGAACGGTGCATCGTTGCAACACCTTAGACACCCCAAGAGGTAAAGCGGTGTGTAGTACGATGCAGTATCATCATTCTGCTTGGGTTTTTTTTTTACATTTTGAAACTTAAAAGAAAAGAATGTTTCTGTTTTTCAGCCACCTGGTCAGTGAGTCTCTCCCAGCTGTCGTTGAATGTTTTGAGATGCTCCTCAGACTTTCTGCATCCCGTCGTGCCGCTCTGGAAGATCAGCTCCGTCTCTATGTGTATGAGAGAGAGGCTAAAGAACTCCAAACATGGCTGACCTCCAAGAGAACGATGGTAGAGTCCACCGACTGTGGACAAGATCTGGAGAATGTGGAAGTGAGTCACGTAGAAAAATAATCATGGGTTTCTTGTGCTTCATAGTTTTTAAAAAGTAGAATGGTTGAGCCATCAGCTATCAATTGCTGCTCCTGTGAAACTAGCTCCCAGTTTGGGTTGTAAGATTAGATTTCCAACTTTCTTTTTGATGATGCTTATAGTCAGGGCTGGATCAGTTGATCCTAAACCAGCCCTTAGTTATCCTGTTATAAGCTCAGTCTGCCGGGTGACTTCCCATCATACACTGAGAATTTGTTCTGTACTCATTTATTTTCACTCCTCATGTGTTTATACACCACTACTGCATGGCATTAGCTTTTCTCTTTCCCTTCACCTACTAACCAGTCATGGCAGCTGGTTGGCCTTTTTCTGCTGGAAGTCTCTTCCTGTGAAAAAGGAGTTTGTCATTCCCACTCTTGCCAAGTGATGCTCTTAGGGGATCAACTTAAAATGACTGTTGTTGGTGACTGTCGTTGTGAACTGGTGTTAAATAAATAACTAGCCTGTGCTAGTGCGCCATAGATATAGTCAGGCTTGCCTCAATTCACAGCTTGGGTTTAGGAACCAGTGTCCAGGAATAAGCCTGGACTCTAGTTTCCCTTAGTGAGAGGTAGCGGGCAGGGGTGGGTATACTTTTATCACTCTGGCTTGTTGCCTGTATGTTGGTTCAGCAGTGCACAAGAGCATTGCTTTTCTGCACCTTCAGGTCGGGGAAACGGTCCAGAGACAGGAGCAGAGCTGTTAGTTGCTCACCATCTAGTGACCACTGAGGACACTGGAATGGACAGACCTGGCCCCCCAGATGTGTAGTGAGGGTGCATAAGCCGTGTCTGACAGTGGACGTATTCAGCTTTATTAGCTTGTGGGACTGTGGCTGATAGATATTGACAGGCCAAGCGGATTATGGCTCTGTCAGGAGCTGAACCAAAAGAGTTTGGAAAGAGTTTTGTGAGCCCACCGAACAAGACTTGATCTGCCTTAGTTGACCTCTCTTACCCAGGCAATTCCAGCAAAACATCAGGTGATTCTGGATGAACATGCAGCCCTCTTCTGGACTGCGCCCAGCTGAAGCTAAGCTCCAGTAATGCTCAGGTTGTCAGGAAATAAACAGCTCATCTGATTTCTCTGACTACAGCTGTTTTTTCCAAATATGTCCCCAAGGTCCCCGAGGGGCACAAGGTGTTAAAGCCCTGATACTCTGCTGAGTAAAATGGAGGTGGCTGAAATGCCAAGAGTTGGATTGTGGGGCATCTGTATGATGTCTCCAATTTTTATTTGTGTAGAAATTCATAAAGTCATTGCTAGTTAACGTTAAATGAGTACTCGGCTCAACAGAACTCTCTGTCACTCCGGCTACAGTCCGGAAAGCTGGGGTTGTTCCTGTTTTCTTCAATCAGTGATAAATATTAGTTTTATGGAGGGCCCTTTTTTTTGGGGGGGGGAGCCACTAATGGGAAAACCATTATTGGATTTTTTTGTATTTGAAATTTTGTTTTCTTTTTTCGTGATTTCTTTTTTTATGTTTTGGGCTTTAAGAAGTATAGAGAGTAGACAGGTAAGCAGGGAGTGATTTGGGAGAGGGATAATGTGACACAGAGAAAGGTCTGTGGTAGATTCAAACCCAGATGAGCTATAACAGCACCTATTGAACTAGTTTTTCTAACTGTAGAATCAGTGACGGGACTTTAAAAAATCTGTCCATCTTCTTATCTTGGGCGACCGTGGTTTGCCTGCACCAGTGTGTGAATGTGAGAATGAATGAATAGTGGAATTGTAAAGCGCCTTGGGTGCCTAGAAAAGCGCTATATAAATGCAATCCATTATTATTATTATTATCCAATTCAGGGTAGCAGGAAGTTTGTTCAAACTTATGAAAACAGAGGCTCCAAGTTATATTGATTGCATTTGTTTGGGTTTAGTTTCATATTTATTTATTGTAGCATATCAGTTTTTGGCTTGAAAAAATCTTAAAAAGGAAGAGACTTTACTGGCACACAAATAGAGAAAATGGTCAGTTTGTAGTAAATATTAAACCAATGTTCTACCAGGGTGTATATCTTCTGAAACTCTTAGGTCTCAAACTGCTAATATCTCCCTCTTTATTCATTTCTTAGCTTTTTGTCCCTTCTCTCCATCTATAGGTCCTTCAGAAGAAGCTGGAGGTTCTGGTTTCAGAAGTTTCCGGTTTGGGTCGCAGCCGACTGACCTCAGTACAGCAGCTTGGCCGAGGGCTGCAACAAGACGATCAGGCTCGCAGGAGGGATGATGCACTCAGCAGGCTGTGGGATGAGCTCAACAGTAGCATAAGGACCAGAGAACAGGTATAGATCTGATAGATCAAGCTACCTTTGGATGAGTTGATCTGGGTTAGAGGTTGTGAGAATGATGGTCTGTCCTGTGTCCTTCAGAATCTGCAGGCAGCAAGGGAGATTCATCAGTTTAACCACGATGTGGAAGAACTGAAGGGCTGGATGGCTGAGAAGGAAGCAGTACTGGACTCAGAGGACCTGGGCCACGACCTGCATTCCATCCAGACTCTGATGAGTCAACATGAAGCATTGGAGGTAGGAAATGTCCACCAAACACTGCATCAACGCTAAGTGGTGGATGCATGACAGCTGAATGAATGTTCCTGCCTCGTTGTCTGTCTTTTCCATCAGAGGGACCTGGTTCGAATCTCTGAGGAAGTAACCAGGAGTAGAGAAGTAGGTCGCACACTGAGCAAATCCCAGCCTCAGGCCAGGTCCTCTGTGACTCAGCGGCTGGATGACCTAGAGGACTGCTGGACCAGTATCCAGGACAAGGCCTCCCTACGACGGGCCAGACTGGGCCAGGCAGAAGATGTGCAGAAATACCTTTCCCAGTGGACTGAACTCATGTAGGTTCTGTCAATGGAAAAAAAAATTATTCACACACTACCCAAAATTCAAAAACACTACAAATAGTATTAAGTTTAGCTTTATTTTTCTATACAAACCCCCAAAGTATTTGTGTTTCAGCCTGGTCTCAAACCAGGGACCTTTCATGTGTTAGCCAAATGTGTAAATCACTACACTGTGGAGTCCAGTTGGTAAAGCTCATTGACATTGGATTAAACTGCTTTAGAATTTTTATCTGCAAGCGGCTTTACACCCCAGGTCTTCCTTTCATGTGATGTTTGACGACATCAGTTTCATATCAGTTGTCAGTTGTTGTCACCCGCTCTGTTCTGGGGTCATGTGCCCAACTCCACTTTCCATGTATGTGCACAGAAGAGTGTGCAGGTGCCAGAAAGCTACTCTGCCAGATATAAGCACAAATGAAAATAACAACCTCTTTGTTCCTACCAGCAGATTACCAGCTTTCTCTTTCAAAGAAGCAGTATTTTAAAGATTGCACATTGTCTTGTGTTCCAGGGCGTGGCTGAAGGAGATGCTGTCTCTGGTGAGAGGGGAGCCTCAGAGTGGTGAGGGAAGTGACCTGGAACAGCTCATTAAAAAGCATGATGAGTATCGCGTCCAGATTGACAGACAACTAATCAAATCACAGGCCGTCAAACAGAAAGGAAGTCGTCTGATTGAGGACGGAAACTTCATGTCTGAGAAGGTAGTTTGGCACATCAAACATCAACAACAATAGAAATGACTCCGAATGGCTGATATCCCTCTGTATATTCCTCCTCTCAGGTGGAGCAGCGTATCTGTGAACTAGAGGAGCTGGAGATGCGGGTGGAGAAGGTTTGGGAGGAAACCAGGCTGCTGTATCAGGAGGATCTGGAGATTGTCCTTCTGCAGAGAGAGCTGGAGCAGGCTGAGCGCTGGCTGAGCTCCTATGAAAGCACTCTGATGGCTGAGGAATACGGGGTATGCGAATGCTGAGAATTGGACAGAAAAGTGAAATGGACAGATGTCTCTATGGGTCAAGCACACTTTTCACTTTTCAACTCTTTTGTAGCGATTCATGGAAATTGTTGCCCTGTATCAGGGTATATTTTTGCCTGTAGTGTGTTAGTAATGCAGATAAATGCAGAGGTAGGAGGAAAAAAGATATCTAACATAAAATGATTTGCTCCTTGTTGTCCATCGTTCAATATGGATGCGTTTTTATTTTACCCCTGAAGGAAGGCCATGTTATACCTGTTATAATAATAGACTCAATACACCTGTTTGAAATAAACTGAAATTATTTTTGAAGGAAGATTTCAGAGGATGGAGTCCCCAAGACGTCACTCAGAACTCGTGGCATTAAAACGTCTCTTAACCAGAACATCTTCTGTGGTTCCTCCAGGATTCTGTGTCTGACGTTATGGAGCTCCTTAAGAGGCAGGAGGACTTGGAGGCCATGATCCAGGCCCAGAGTGATCGTTTCATTGCACTTCAGAAAAAGAAAACACAGGTAACATTAACAACAGGAAAGAATAGAGTTTCATAGACTAAATCAAAGGCTTTTCCCCCAAACACTGGTTTTCTCTTTCTTTATTAGGTACTGAGATCTTAAAAATGTCTTAAAACCATTTATTTAGATTTTTGTAGTGCATGAACCCTGTTAAAAACACTTTCTTTTTTATTGCAGAGGGAAAACAGGCTGGGTCTTCATGGAAATGAGGAGAAGGACCTCCAGTACAGACAGCCTCCAGCTAGAGTTTCCTCCCTGAGAAGTAAACCATCAGAACTAAAGACCCCACGGATCTCCTCTAGAGACGTTCATGGCAGGCAGACAGACAGAACAATCAGACCATCCGTGCTGGAGAAGAAAGCAGAAGCTGTCTCTAGTTCTCCTAGCCCTCTTCTCAGCCCACCACTAGGACCTGGATCAGATTCAAAGATTATTAAAAAAGCAGAATCGGCTGACAGCTCTGATGAGTCCGATGAGTCCAGTCCCAGCCCGACAGTTAACGCCGGGAGAAGGCAAATCAAAAATTCACACCTAAATTCTAACACTCCCCTTGGAGAATCAGCGGATTCCTCTTCACAACCGCCTCCTCAGTCCCATTCACTAAAAGAGACTCGGCCTAGGTCCAAACCACCTGTGGCTCCAAAGCCCAGAATTTCCTTTTCAGAGCAGGCGTTTGGCTGCCGCTCTGATTCTCCGAACCTTCCAGAGAAACCCACCACTCCACCAAACTCACCTTCAGCAATCAGACGACTTGTTGCCCCCACTGAACCGCCACCACCTCCACCTGTGAAAGAAAGATGTATTCGCCCTAAATCACCAACATCAAGGCAGCCCGATGTGCCTGGCTCTCCTGCTCCACCTGCTGCTGATCACATTACACCACCCAACGCCCCGACGGCTGCACCAATCACAAAGGAGGATAAGACGTGAGCATGCCCCGTTTCCTGCTGCTTTGACATCGACTGGCTGATTCCTCAACTTAAAAAAAAAAAATGTTACTGCAGTGGTTTCAGCTCATAGCAAGAAAATATATATTAATCATCCATGGGATCAGTATGCTGCGCTAAAGAAATTGCACACACATAATTATACAAAAAACATTAAAAAGTAAGTTAACTCATGGTTGACCTTATTCCCCCCTCTCCTAGACCTCAACAAAAGTCTTTAGATCTAGCAGAGGGGCAACCCGAACCTGAGGTATAAACTGTCTTATTCATTAAATTAATAAGCATCATCAACCACATGTTCTCACACCTGTCATACTTACTGCCAGGTCACACCTGGGGAGCCAATCAGAATGGAGGGCGTGTTGGAGATTAAGCTGAAACAAGGAGGAAACAAGGTGAGAGACATGTTACACATCTGTAACTGATGATATGATCTTTATAAAGATATCTAAAAACGAAATTTCATATTGGGCATGAACTCAACGTGCTTCTTTGTTTGATACATTTTTAATTTTATTTACACATCTCTATCAAACTGGATGGACAACCTGATGGAAAAGGAGCTATTCGGCTTCCCAGTTGGATTTTCCAATTTTTATGTCTTGGTGGTTGCTAACACAGTATGAAATCATGCTCTTTATAAGGTATCCAGTTGTGATTTTGTTGCTGTACTGAGTAGCTGCTTAACGGAGGAAGATGCTGTACTCAGGATTGTTTCTAAAGGCTAAAGAAAATAATGTAACATTATAGTGTTGCCCACTTAAAGTGAGAGGAGATAAGCAGAGTGAATTGCTCTGTTGTTTTCCTCGTACATCCACACCCTGAAGACTGCAGAAGCTGATACACATTGGTGTATTTTTAATGCCATTAGCCAGGAAAATGAAGGTCTTTTATTACTTTTTGAAACCTACTTTGAGTACCTGGATGATTTATGCCAGTTTTCTTTTTGCCACTCTACCCTTCCATTAGCACCGGTGGTTTGAGAGACACCAGTGGTGCTCCTTTTATTTCCTTTTATTCCCGAGAACCTTTTTGGGTTATGGCAGCCTGTTTGTTGTGCCCACTGTTGAAGCATTGGCTGAGGCTCCTCTTTTGTTGCAGGGTCTGGAGCACTGGGAGGAGGTCTTTGCTGTTCTGCAGGGAGAGACTCTCAGCCTGTTTAAAGACACAGCAGCTGCTGCACAGGTAGAGAACATTAAAAAGCCACTGCATCACTGACAGCACTGCCTACATGACATGACAGCAGTTTGGGTAAAAACAATTAAGTCCTGTCCTGAGTGCGTTTAGCACCATAGCAGATGGACATGTTTGATGGTATCATGTGTCCTTGACACAGCGATCCCATTTACCTAGGCTCCCCTGAGGCTGGGTTTGTATCTTCTCCCAAAATCAAACTGAGGATCTTTCTTTCTTTTAAGATGAATGTGTGAATGTATCCTGAGAAATGACGGGAAAAAGAAACTCAACAAAAAACAGCATTTATTTGTTTAAAGAAAACATTAAAAAAAATAAAAAAAATAATAAATTCACACATTTCTTTTTCTAACGTATTCAACAATGAAGCAAATAAGGGCTTCCATTAATAGAGATTAATCGAGATGGCAGTCATGATTCTCTTTTTTTCTAATTCAGTCCTCATTTAGAATTTGAAAATCTCTTCATGCTCTGAATAGACGCCACCATAATCAATGCAGAAGCTAACTTTAAAGGTTTTCAAAATATTTTGGTAACTTGAACAAGGGTTTTTGACTTTTATCCAAATCTGGAGATTTTTATTTTTTCTTTCAAAGTGTTTTTAGCATGATCATCTTTATTGGAAACATTTTCATATATTAAATTCAACTTCCTTAACTTCAAGTTGCTTTCAAACAATTATGTTTATGCAATGAAATGAAATGTCTGTTGGAGTCAAACTCAAAATATTCCAAAATTCAAAGGAACTTGCTGCCAAGGCTGCTGTTTTTGTGTTCTTCAGACACAGAATAATTACTCGCAGTTGAGCGTAGGTCGTGTCTAATGCATACTCAGTGTGTTACGAAAAGGAAAATATTGCAGCTTATTTTTCTACAGGAAGGATTATAACCACAGTGTTCTCCATCTGCCTCTGCACGTTCACTAATAATCTCAGTGAGGTTACTGTCACGGTTCTGGGTCCGTCGGACCCAGTAGTTTGAGTTTTATTATGTTTTGGTTTTAGTTTGCATCAGGGGTTGTTTTCTTGTTCTCTGGTAGTGTTGATTATGATGATGTTTATTATTTGAGTTTCATGTTTCTGTGGTGTTTAGGATTTGTTCTTCAGTTGTGTCTGCTTAGTATTTGTCTAGCTCCATGTGCCATTTTCTGCCTGTCTCTCTATGTCGAGTTTGTGTCTTAGTGTGATGGTTGCTTGTTCCTGTTTTATTGTGATGGTCTGCGTCTCATGTGAGTGTGTTCAGTTTTACCTTTGTCTCGTCTTGTTGATTATTCCCAGCTGTGTCCACCACCTGTGTGTAATTCCCCTGTGATTCTCTGTGTATTTAAGTCATGTCTGCCGTCATTGTAGTTGCTGGTCCGTCTGTGTATTCCACCCTGCGTCATCTGTGTGTTTCCCTGCTGTCAACCGCCAAGTGTTTCTGCTCATGTTCAGGTTCGTGTTCTGTAGTTAGTTTGTTCCCAGTCTAGTTAGTCATAGCTCCCTTTGCCGTTTGTATTTACTTTCATGCTCAATAAACCACCTTCACACCTTCACGACTGCCTGCGTTTGGATCCTCCTTCATTGCCTCCACACGGCTCACCTCACTCGCCGTGACAGTTACACTGTTTAACTCTGTTGTGCTTTCACAGAGGACATCTAGGTGGCCTCCTATCAACGTAGTTGGAGCAGTTTGCAGGGAGAATCGCTACTACAGAAGCAAGGAGAACACTTTCAGACTAATGTAAGAGATGCACGCTTCATGGACAGTGTAAACACAAGCACAACACAACATTGGAGCATTGGAAAGTTGACTTTAATGTTGTTGCTAAAGTTAGAAATCACAGCTTCTCTATGCTGTATGACTGTCTGATGTATAGGACATTCTGAAACTTCATATTTACACTTAAAATTGGCTACTATATTTTTTGGACTAAAGGCGCACTTAAAATCCTTTAATTTTCTCAAAAATCGACAGTGCAGCTTATAATCTGGTGCGCCATATGTATGAAGTTGATGGTTGATTGTTAAAGCATTGCGGCTACCGTAATCAGGAGCCTCGAGGATCCCTTCCAACATAAATGAATACAGAATACTAAACAGCAGTGACTTTTGTAGTGTTACTGAAGTTGGACTAGCTGGTATATAATGATGTGCTACATGATCGGTAGTGACACAGCTATGTTAGCATAACATAAACACAGTGAAGCTGGAGGATGAACGCTAACTTTTTTCCACTTGATAAAAGTTAAGGTGAGGGTTCCTGATGGTTAGAGACAAATGCAGTTGCATGGCAGGATGCTGTAAACGGAAACCTCAAACTTCAGTCAGGAGAACTGAGATAATCCATCCACACTATGAGGTTAGTCATTAATATACTGCAACAACATGGGAACAGAGCAGCTGTGAGAGAATTCAACGTTAATGAATCAATGGTACGGAAGTGGAGGAAGCAAGAAGAATGAAATGAGTAAAGTTTGACTTATCTGACTGCTTTGTTTCACTTATTGCGCCTTATGTATAAAAGCAGACCAGATCATTGACAGTGCGCCTTATGGTCTGAAAAATACGGTATTTGTTTCTTAGCACTGTGAAACTATATTATAATTTTGAAAATTTGTGGCTCACCACTGATCTTTCAAATAAATTCTGCCCGTGCCATACTTTGGTCTCAATTATGCATTTCTTTACATCATTATATGCCGTATTTTCTTATGCAAAACATTCTTAGGAAGACTTATTTTTCTGTACTTGTGTTGTGCTTTCTCTCTCTCAGACTGGAGGATGGCAGTCAGTATGTATTTACAGCATCAAGCAAGGAGCTCCAGCTCATCTGGATGAAAAAGCTCCAGAACTGTCCAGAATCTGCCAGCAGTGACTCTGACGACTCTGGGTGAGCGCTCACTCATGGTTGATCAATTTTAATAGACCTAAGACAAAGCTCTCTCTCTTTTGGATCATAAGTGATTACTCAGTTCAACTGGAGAATGTGAAATATTTGAGCTTAAGCAAAAAAATAAAAAAATAAAAGTTGTGTATCTCAAGGTTGCAAATGAGAACTGAAAGAATTAAAAGGAAAGACATTTACAAAAAGTAGCTGAGTGGAAATTCTAAACTACCGATTTGTAAGTTTGGAAATTGTAGTTATGATAATGCACCTTTAAAAACTGAATAAGTGCAATACAAATTACAGTATAACAAGTGGGATTAAACATAAGTGTTAATGTCAAACATGTAACCTCATCATCTACTGAAACAAGACTAGTGATATAACCTAAAATCACTATCACTCAATATCAATAAAAGCTGGTGATAACAACATATTTTTGGTGTTATTACACAAACCTTTATACGAATTGTTCAGTGTATTCCTACTCAGATGGTCCTAGGACAAGCTAGGGTGCTTCACCTCCTCTTGGATCTGTTGTCATACTTTGGAAAGTCCAATCACTTTAATAACAATAACAGGTTGTTTAAAATCAGAGTAACATAGAAGGCCTGTCTGTTTCTATTTTCGTTTTGATAACACTTTAAAATTAAGCTTGTTGATAAGAGAGCAAAACAAAAACAAAAAACAGAGAACAAGCGTGAGCCGTGAAGAAAACATGACACAAACGAGGCTTTCAGGATCAGTCTTGTGATGTATGCCACTAAGTGGCTGGGGAACTCTATGTGGTTGCACATCGATGAGAGGGGTTGGCCCCCAGTGCAAGATGTACATCATGTATTTGGAGCTGCTACCTGCTTTTATACCTCTCGAGCCCTTTTGTCCTGTTCTGGTCCAGCATGTCCTGGTCAGCACCGGTGTTACAACAGTGGTTTCTTGCATAAACATGCAGGTCAGGACATGCTCCCATCCCCTGTTAAAGCTGCCTCGCTCTCTGTTGTTATGGTGCAACATTCATTCTCTCTTGCCTCTTGAGAGGGCAGCTCAGTTAAAGGTTTGCTTTCAACTATGGTGGCAATGATCAAAACTGTGAGGGCTTAATCTACAACGGGTGTGTGTGTGCCTATGAATGGCAAGTGTAGGTGTGTTTTCTCTTTCCAGTGCTCTTTTACAAATGGAATGCAGCAGCCCTGTGAAGTCTCTGTGTCCTGTGATGTGCCACATAGTTTCATTAAACAGATTCAGGATGTTTGTCTGCTTTGCTGACAGCCAGGTATAAAGCTTTACATAAACAGATACACTGCCACTGGATTTTGGAGGCCATTTCCCTAGCATAAAGTACCAAAGGTCTCTCCTTGCCTCAGTGTGTGAGACCACATACCACCAGGGAATGGCAGCCTTATCTGTTCCATTTAAAAGGGTTTATATGTGACAAACCCAGAGGGTTCATATGAGAGGTTGACCCAAAAGCAGACTCAAGAGCTGACTTTTTGATCAGGCACCAAAACAAGGACTATCAGTACACACGTGCACACATACACACAAACACACGCCTGTGGAGAGATCTCTGGCAAGCAGTTGTGAAACAGAGGAAAGACTGAAATGGTAGAGGAAGGGTTTTTGTTGTATGAGAGCTGCAGGGCTGTTGAGGCTCTGCAGAAAAGGGTGGAACGTCAAGCTAATTAAGCAGTGAGCTAAGACCTTCTTCAATAGAGTGTATGAAGGTAGCCGTGGTTTGGGGGGTGCAGGACTGATCTGATTCTGGTGAGGACCAGTCTGCTTGAGGAGAGGAGGGCTGTAGAGGCTGTGCAAAGGGCCCAGGTTGGAGGTCGTTAAGTAGCGACATCATATTTTTTACAGTTTGGCTGAAGAAGGGAGGCGTTGGTTGGCATTCAGTGGGTGCAACAGAGGAGTCCAGCAATTTAGATGGAGAGGAGTTCTCCAGAGAAGCAGGGCTGTTCGGACTATATTTAGGAGTATTAGAACAGGAGAGTGTATCAGGCTGTGGAGTGACAGGGAGGATTGACCACATGTCATCCTGTCAGTGAAACCAATAGGCTCTTTTTGGTTTTTAAAGAATGTGTCAGGGGAGGCACATAATGTGGATAGAGAAGTATATACAGGAGAAGCAGGGTTGGTCTGATTTAACTGAGGACCAGTGAGTGGAGAGGAGGGCTGCTGGGATGGAGTCAAGCTGTTCCACCACTGACAGCAGTGCTTCATCAGTGTCACTGACAAAAGTGGCCTCTTTCTGGAGCTGAACGGGTGCAGCAGAGGAGACCAGTGATGCAGATGAGGCACCCCAACCGGTCGCAGCAGATGGCCGCCCCTCCCTGAGCCTGGTTCTGCCGGAGGTTTCTTCCTGTTAAAAGGGAGTTTTTCCTTCCCACTGTCGCCAAAGTGCTTGCTCATAGGGGGTCATATGATTGTTGGGTTTTTCTCTGTACCTATGAAGCGCCTTTTGTTTCAATTGAATTGAAATCCATATGAGAAGCTGGGAGGACCGGATTTACTTGACACACAGGCGCATCAGCTGCTGTCTGTGTGTTCTGCAGCTGCACACACGCTGACTGCTGATCAGGAAGGTTGGTAACAGCTGGCTGTCTCTGTGGCTGTTCAAGAGGCTCCTTTGTAACTGAATAGGAAGAAGATGGCTGTGTCTGAGCTGGCGTCACACAAAGCCTCTTGGCCTGTTGATCTTCCTGTTTAGGTTCAGATGCTGCACAAACAAACACAAACAAAAACACAGTAAGTCTTCTTTCGTTAACAGATTTCCGTCTTCTTTTCATCACATTTCACATGAAAAAACGTCGTAATTCCCAGAAATCTCCTCTCACCTGTGCTCGAGGTGCGATTTCGTGTTCTCTTCCTCTTTTTGCCCTAAAAACAAAAATATGAGAATTTTCATCAGTTGATCCAAACTCTGTGCACTGGTTGCTTCATAATTCAGTGCAGTGATGGGCACATGTATGAACTGCATGTTAGCACTTTGGACATACGTAGTTTTCTTTGGTGGACCAGTCTGGATGCTCTGTGGCGTGACGGCATCTCTCGCTTTCAGCCTGATCAAAATATTTCGCTTGTTCTTTTGAGAGAGACCTCCACTGAAGACAGACAATCATGAGAACCCACTGTCAGCATAGATAAATACTCAGCTACACTGTTACTACAGGGCAGCTGGCACACATGCACAAACATGAGCATAAAGCATTAACAGATGCATAAATATATGCAGAGTTACACACTTACCCTCTTTGCCACAGCTGCATTTACGGCTGCACTGGCAGTTATATTCAGTTCCACCATCACCTTTGACCTCTGCTCCTTCAGGTAAAGCATGAAGGCGTTTGGTGGCTTCTTTATGTACAGCCGGTCCGCATCCTGTTGGGCTTCACATTTCCTTTTTCTACAGGAATAAAACACAGAGTCAGTGCACATGTTAGCATTGTGTACAGCTGTGAGCAAAGTAGTTTAAAAACATGAGTAAAGCTGTGAAACTGAATGTAAGGAGGCACCATTAAAGGAAGTTGATTACAGTAATGCAAGCAAACATCTGCAGAAAAAAGACTGATATCTGGAGATAACTGACACAAAGCACCACAGAAACTTACTTTGGAGTGGAGGTGTTGGATGGGGGAGCAGGAGGGACAAAATCCCAGACTGGAACACCGTGCCTACACAGATGCAGAGATGGATACGAGATAGCAGAGTTTATGAAGATACAGATGTTCAGCAGCTGTGTACACTGGTGTGTTTGTGTGTTTTACGTACAGTTCTCCAGCAGGATGCAGGTACTGGATCATGTTTTCTGGAATCCCGAGCACATTACTCTTGAAACACACAAAACACACAACAGATGATGAGAAAAGCTGGAATGCTATGATCTATCCACTCGGTAGAAGAAGTGATCAGTGGGAGGAGAAGATGTGCATAAAACTACATTCATACATAGCTGGACTTTGATCTCCTGCGTTATTCTTTGGAATTATGTTTCACTGGCAGCGACTAAGTTTACTGTTCAGCAAAGCTTCACACCACATTTATACAAAGGTGAAATACAAGGAAGCTGAGAGCAGAGTGATGAGTCCAACACTTTTAAACATCTTTATCAATAAAACTTCAATGAGACCTGTCACTACCTCTGGGTGTCTCAGCTGTCCCTGGCTGACTGTAGAGGTGAGCTGGTGCTGAGACCATGAGTGGAACCAGCTGCTGAGTCACAGGAGGAGCTGGTTCTGGGAGGATGTTGCTAAAGAATCCTCCAGTCTGAGGATCTGATGCTGGCTGAGGGGGAGCAGGTGTCCCAGAGGGTAGGATGTTTGCCCCAGAATGCCAACTTCAGGAGTGGAAGGCGCTTCTTCTGACTGCATTGTCTCTGAAATATGATTGTTTTCGTCCCTGAGGTCCATTTTAGAGACAGACGGGTTGAGGGGGTCGCTCAGAAGAATGACAACTTCTTCTCTCCGGGATCCTGTGGCACACATTCATAAAAGTGTTATATTTAAGTGTTATATTTGTAAAATAATTCAAACCAAACTGAGAAATACAAAAAAACTAACAAACTAATTAATACTTCAAACGATGCTAACCTCAAACTTTGTTAACTCTCATTACTTCGCTGCATTTATATAACAGCAATTGTTCTTACTTTGTAACAAACAGTTTAAAAAGATAATGCACTGTTTCACAATTACAGTTATATATAATATAATGAACAGGTTTCAGTTGTTTACCAAAAAAATGTAAATATCATATATATGTATATACAAGAATCTGCAATTCAACAACACTAACAAGGTACATGAGGACTTGGAATTTGATTTTTAAAAAATACATTTGCTGACTGACGGGTTTTAATTTTGCATCAGCTTAGCCAGTTACAACATTAAAATAATGACTTTTCTGATTTAAAACCTGATTAAGCTGACCTGTACTGCAGAAGGAAATAAAAAAAACTGTAGAAACAAGTTGCTCTGCAGATTCAAGTTTTACAGGCATTCGTGTTA